TAAGTGATTTCAGCCTGCTTTCTCTTGTCTCCCCTTGTCGCCTAGCTCTGCCCAATAATTGCTTTAAGTGCTTTTTATTTTTGCTCTCTTGTTTGATTATCACACACACACACACACACACACACACAAAGTGAAGAGAGATGCTAAAATTTTAAAGCTGAAATTAAAAGGGAAACTCGTAGTGGTGGGGGAAGTAGCCCAGTAAAATGGCACTTACCAGGAAAGTCATGCCTTTTTAGTTGGTGCTAAAACACCAACAATTGTTTTAATAATTAAAACGAACAAGCAAAGGTGCATTTTAGTGCAAATAAGACAGATTTTTAAAATCATCATCATCATCATCACTCTCACAAAAATGGCCTGCACCGGGTGTACCAAGAATGGGGAACCTGTGGCCCTTTAGATACTGCTAGACTACAACTCCCATCACCCCTCACCACTGGCCATGTTTGCTGAAACTGAGGGCAGTTGGAGTCCAACAATATTTTTTATGGCTGCAGGTTCTCCATCTCCTAGTATAGATGCATGGGGATAGCCTCACTTGCTTGATAAAACACTGCACATATTACAGCTAAGGTTTGTATCCGTACCATCCAACTTTTTTAGACCCAAGACAGGGATATATGTCTTCTGAGATGATCTTCTGGGTGAGTCACATGACCCATGCCTTGCTCTCGCCACCCCCCCAAAAGGCAAGGGCAAGGGTATGGCACTCAAAAGGGTTGCCGCAATCTTGCATGGAAAAATGGGATAGCCCATTTTTTCTGGGGCACTTAGCAGGTTTCTGGTACTGTGCGTGTGGGGTCCCACTGGCATAAAGGGGCTTAACATTTCCTTTCCTCCCCCCCTGCATCTCCCCAAGTCTGCTTTATAGGGTCCCCAGCCCTTTGGAGGGTGCACATGGGGGCTGGAAGGAACAGGGCAGGAAGAACTTCTGTTCCGCAGGTAGAACTGCAGTGTTGTTCAATACAATCAGGTTTTCTGCAGAATAAAAGATGGGGAAATCCTACAAAGATGGGGAAATCCTACAAAATGATGATAACAACATATAGATGCCCCAATTATAAAATTAGTTCCAAAAACATGATAATTTGGCTTGGTAATTTGGTGATTTGGTAAAATGTTGGTGTAAAAGAATTCTAATACTTCCTACTTTTAATAAACACACCTTGAAAAAATATGAAGGGTCCAGCTTCTTTCTTTGAGGAAGAAGGTTGCCTACCATTGATGTGTTTTTATTTATTTATATTTTAATAACCACTTACACACAGTTCTCAATGTGATGTGAAATAAAAGCACCTTAAAAACAATTAAACGATTAAAAATAAACACACAAATAGCATATATCCCAATACAGAATAGACACCCATGGCAGAAACCCATTCATGTAGCTGGAACAAAAATGTCCTCAATTGTTTCCAGAAAGTGTAGTCAGTGGGCACTTGCTGTATCTTGTCAGGAATACTGTAACACAGAGCAGGGCTTTCAGTGTGGCTGCCCCTGTTCAGAATTACTGTGGAGCAGGCCTCTGACAGCTTTGGAACTTGCAGAATAAGCCCTCTCACAGACCACAGTGACCTAAAAGGTGCATAAAAGCTAAAGGTGTATTGGTTCCTCCTCTTGTATGGTTAGAGGAAGCTTACCCAAGCCCTGAGAGAAGAAGGCATGTTGAGATTGTTGTTGAGCTGTATTTGTGGTAAATTGAGATCAATATGTCAGAACTTTTTGGATTGCAAAATTGGGCTTTTGTGATCAAAGATATCTATGATCTTAGTTTGGAGTGTTTAGCAATTGAGATCCTAGATAATTAGCAGAGACAAATAAGGCAGGATTTTAGTTTTGAAAGCATACCCAAAGAACAATCCTCCTTGATTAGCAATATAGGAGAACACTGCCTTTCAATGATTTGTACATGGAACCAACAGCTAGCCCTAAAATTGATGATACCTTATCCTGGAAGCCCCAAAAATTATTTGTGTAGCTAACTGATGAACAGATGTTGTGTCTGACTAATAGCCTTTCTGTGGCTTAATGACTCAGGATTTTGTTTTTGTCGTTTTAATACATCTGGAATCTAAAAACTGGCTGGCTGGTACCTCTGCCCACCCCCCACCCCTTTTTACTGCCTTTATATATTTTCAAGAATGCAAAACAAGAATCAAGGGAAAAAGAAAAACCCATAACAATAAAGCACCTCTGCCTTGAAAAAAACAAGGGCATTGTCATGTAGGAATCCAACAGTATGTAGACTTGATGCACAAGACCTCAGGTATTTTCAGGTGCTTGAGGCACTTATAGTAGTGCTGCATGAATTTTGTGTTTTGTCCATTAAGACCAGAGCTTTTAGTGTGATGATACCTGCCCTTCAAAAGGTGCTTGCAATGAACACCAGGCAGAGACCTACAATATGGCATTTAGGTGCCTGCTTAACAGATACCTGTTCTCCTAAGCTTTCCCTGAGAGGTGATCCATCTATATTGATATACTAATTGGTTTATCCTGTATTCTGCAGTGTAGGTGCTAATGGAAATGGTTGCAAATAAATAAATATGTGGTCACCCTGGGCTGTCATGTAGTAAATCCTCTGAAATGGATGCAAGTCAGTGTTGCGATGCCATTGTGCATTAATTTTTTTTTTAAAATTCTGCCTTATTGGACCTAATGACATAAATTAAGACAACTTGTGTATTTTTATGTATTAAGTTAACAGCAGAGCAGGATTATGCAGCTTTCAAATTAAAGCAAAATACATTTCTAAAATATGCTCAACAATGTGCAAATTAGGTGGGCTGGCTGTATAGTTGAGGCAGAGGGCACCAAAGCTTCTTTCTGCCTCTCAGGATGGCTTGGCTCAAATCAATGAAGTTTTGTTTTGCAGGTTTCGGGTGAGACATTTGTTTTGGATTTCATTAAATGGAACTGTCTTTAAATATTTTTCATTGGTAACTGCAAATATAAAATCATTTTGCAAACAGCTCAAGTGATTATGATCAGTGCCTATCTATTGAAAATTAGTGGCCATGTGTATCCAATGGGTATAAATTTTAATCTAGATTGTTATGGTACAGTAATTCCTATATATGTCTAACCCCATTTAATTTGGATTTCTTCAACTCTTTGTCATATCAGTACCTGCTGTTATTTTTGTCCTGTACTGTTGTTCTGGGATTGAGTTATTTAGCATTTTAAATGCAACATAAATACCTCAATGTGTGTGTGTGTGTGTGTGTGTGTGTGTGTGTGTGTGTGTGTGTGAACAGAGTCATACTTGTGAAAATCCATTGCACGAGTAGATGGGCACAACTGGATATTGCTATGTATTTATGAAAGAGAAAATACAAATATAATTGGATAAATGTTGCAGTATATAATAGCTTTGTGGGGATATTTGATATAGAAACAGTATGGAAGAAAGAGTTCAATCCTAACCCTCTTTCCAAGTCATAGTCCCAAGCATTATCTCTTCCCTGCATCCTACCCTGTCCTCCTCCTGGCACGGCTGCATTTTGTGAAGAAAGAAAGGTCCTAAGCATGCTATTTTTTAAAAATGTCACCAACGCAACATTTTTAGTCCTCAGAATGTAGACTATTTTGAGTAAATTACTACTGTAGTCTGTAATAGTTGTGCAATAGAGCTGCATTGGTTGATGTCAAAACCTAAGACATTACTGCTACGTTGAAAATATGTTGAATTGGTTTAACTTGTGAGCTCTGCTCTATATTTGACAGGTCTGCAAACATCTTATCATCAGAATTTGCAAACACTGTGTGCGTTATGCTGGTAAATCCTATGTAGGTAGCAACACCAGTTAAGGTTGCTTTATGACTTACTTTCAATAGAGAACTAACTTTTTCACTTTTTAATCTAATATCAAATTTTAATCCTAGCTGTTTGCCTAAGAGTACATATTCCTTTTAGAATCTATGGACTAATGGTGAATTCATTCCCTTCCCCCATTTTATATGCAATAGAGGGAGATCTTAAACAGGCACTGTCACATATGGTTTGAACCAAAGCTTTGTTTGGAAACAGGACAGTCCTTTGCTTGAGGCTGCCTCCAGTCAGACTGGACAGCTGTGGTCGAGACTAGAGGAACAAATAGTCTGATCTGTTATAAGGCAATGTTTTAATTTTTCTCTGTGAATGTGTTCTTAAAGCCTTTCAAGTATTGGTCATATTTAAATGCATTAATTTCCTACATTGTCTTGTCACACCCTGATTTGATACTCATTGGAACTCTATGTAGTCTGAAGCACTTTGATAACACAAAAACCATGCGGACTACTATCATAAACAGGTTTATACATTTTGGATATGACAAAAAAACACCCACCCACCAAGATTGTGAAACAAAAATGTGTGGGCAATCTACCTACCCTCCACCCTCAGAACCACCTGGCATATACTTTAAAATAAGCGCCTCATCTGAAATTGAGATATGTACACTAATGACCTGTATGCAGACAAAAGAGATAAATTTGCACACAAACTGTAATTCAACCACCCCTGGGAGGTTAGCAAACTAGCACTGATTATGGCAATCAGGCTTTGCTCATGTTGTACTTTTATTGTTATCCTCAAAACAGCATGTATTCAGATATACCAAGTAGAATGAATGAGCTCAAAATATGCAGCAAACTGTTTCAGCTTTGGATTTACAGTGGTACCTTGGGTTAAGTACTTAATTCGTTCCGGAGGTCCATTCTTAACCTGAAACTGTTCTTAACCTGAAGCACCACTTTAGCTAATGGGGCCTCCTGCTGCCGCTGTGCCGTTGCCGCCCAATTTCTGTTCTCATCCTGAAGCAAAGTTCTTAACCCAAGGTAATATTTCTGGGTTAGCGGAGTCTGTAACCTGAAGCGTCTGTAACCCAAGGTACCACTGTATATTAAAACTAATAAGAGTGTAACACTTTAAGAATAGCACATCTAACCTGCTTATATATACTGTCAAATCAGACTATGTTGTAAACGTGGTTTTGCTTTACCATATTTTTCAGAGCTGGTTAAAAACCTATGGTTATCTGCTCCCTTCTGACACCCGAATGTCTGCTCTGCACTCAGGAAAAGTTATGCAGTCTGCAGTCACCACTATGCAGCAGTTTTATGGCATCCCTGTGACAGGAGTGTTGGACCCAACGACTATTGAGTAAGAGTTACTTTTGTAAACAGTTGAAAGCATTGCATTCACCAAAATCATCATTAATTGCTGGATGAAATCCTGTATAATGTGGACCTGCATAAATTCACTTGGTGCTTATGTATTCTCTGGAACAGAACATGTCTCTGACTCCTGGCTCAAATGGCCAACCAAGCCCCATTTCTTGCTAAATAAATTTAACTGGAAATGAACTGATCAACTAACATAATCCATGTTAAATCCAAAATAAGTGTGTTCATACAGGGATTTGTGCTGGTTTAACTAAATCGGTTTAACAACTGGAACTCTGACATGCAAAAACAACATTGTGTGCAATGTATAATATAACCATTATTGGGTTTTGTCTAAATCCCATATATACAGAGGTATTGCAGTTCTATATCTTAAACCATTCTATATTCTGGAAGATACGCTATTTCAAAACACGTCTCTGACATAATCTGAGCCTGATCTTTACTGATTTGCATAGTGCCAGATTGCATGAGATGTTATTAATGAGCACACAATTTTTCTTGCAGAAATAACTAGCAGGGCAGGATGGTTGTGGGGAGTGATGTTCCATATTGGAACTCTGGCATGAAGCAGAGAGTTATTTAGCCCTCTACTGTGGTGCAATTGCAATCTGGAACAGGGGAACCCCATTCATAGAATCATAGAATCATAGAATCATAGAGTTGGAAGAGACCACAAGGGCCATCGAGTCCAACCCCCTGCCAAGCAGGAAACACCATCAGAGCACTCCTGACATATGGTTGTCAAGCCTCTGCTTAAAGACCTCCAAAGAAGGAGACTCCACCACACTCCTTGGCAGCAAATTCCACTGTCGAACAGCTCTTACTGTCAGGAAGTTCTTCCTAATGCTTAGGTGGAATCTTCTTTCTTGTAGTTTGGATCCATTGCTCCGTGTCCGCTTCTCTGGAGCAGCAGAAAACAGCCTTTCTCCCTCCTCTATGTGACATCCTTTTATATATTTGAACATGGCTATCATATCACCCCTTAACCTCCTCTTCTCCAGGCTAAACATGCCCAGCTCCCTTAGCCGTTCCTCATAAGGCATCGTTTCCAGGCCTTTGACCATTTTGGTTGCCCTCCTCTGGACACGTTCCAGTTTGTCAGTGTCCTTCTTGAACTGTGGTGCCCAAAACTGGACACAGTACTCCAGGTGAGGTCTGACCAGAGCAGAATACAGTGGCACTATTACTTCCCTGGATCTAGATACTATACTCCTATTGATGCAGCCCAGAATTGCATTGGCTTTTTTAGCTGCCGCGTCACACTGTTGGCTCATGTCAAGTTTGTGGTCAACCAAGACTCCTAGATCCTTTTCACATGTACTGCTCTCAAGCCAGGTGTCACCCATCTTGTATTTGTGCCTCTCATTTTTTTTGCCCAAGTGCAATACTTTACATTTCTCCCTGTTAAAATTCATCTTGTTTGTTTTGGCCCAGTTCTCTAATCTGTCAAGGTCGTTTTGAAGTGTGATCCTGTCCTCTGGGGTGTTAGCCACCCCTCCCAGTTTGGTGTCATCTGCAAATTTGATCAGGATGCCCTTGAGTCCATCATCCAAGTCGTTGATAAAGATGTTGAATAAGACCGGGCCCAAGACAGAACCCTGTGGCACCCCACTAGTCACTCTTCTCCAGGATGAAGAGGAACCATTGATGAGCACCCTTTGGGTTCGGTCAGTCAGCCAGTTACAAATCCACTGAGTGGTAGCATAGTCAAGACCGCATTTTACCAGCTTCTTTACAAGAATATCATGGGGCACCTTGTCAAATGCCTTGCTGAAATCAAGGTAGACTACATCCACTGCGTTCCCTTTATCTACCAGGCTTGTAATTCTGTCAAAAAACGAGATCAGGTTAGTCTGACATGACTTATTTTTCAGAAATCCATGCTGACTATTGGTGATCACAGCATTCCTTTCTAGGTGCTCACAGACTGTTTGCTTAATGATCTGCTCCAGAATCTTCCCTGGTATTGATGTCAGACTGACTGGGCGGTAATTATTTGGGTCCTCTCTTTTCCCCTTTTTGAAAATAGGGACAACATTTGCCCTCCTCCAGTCTGCCGGGACTTCGCCTGTTCTCCAGGAATTCTCAAAGATGACTGCCAGTGGTTCTGAAATCACATCTGCCAGTTCTTTTAATACTCTTGGATGCAGTTCATCTGGCCCTGGAGACTTGAATACATCTAGACTAGCCAAGTATTCTTGTACTATCTCCTTAGTTATTCTGGGCTGTGTTTCCTCTGCTGAATCATTTGCTCCAAATTCTTCAGGTCGGGGATTGTTTTCTTTATCGGAGAAGACTGAGGCAAAGAAGGCATTGAGGAGTTCAGCCCTTTCTGTGTCCCCTGTTTGCATTTCACCATCTTCTCCTCTGAGTGACCCCACGGTTTCTTTGTTCTTCCTTTTGCTACGAACATACCCATAAAAGCCTTTTTTGTTGCTTTTAACCTCTCTAGCAAGCCTGAGTTCATTTTGTGCTTTAGCTTTTCTGACTTTGTGTCTACACGTGCTGGCTATTTGTTTGAATTCCTCTTTGGTGGTTTCCCCCCTTTTCCATTTTTTGTACACATCCTTTTTTAATCTTAACTCAGTTAAAAGTTCTTTAGATAGCCACCCTGGCTTCTTTAGGCACCTTCCATGTTTCCGTCTCATTGGTATTGCCTGAAGTTGTGCTTTTACTATCTCCCTCTTAACAAACTCCCAGCCATCTTGAACTCCCTTTCCTTTTAGTATTACTGTCCATGGGATCTCACCCAGCACTTCCCTAAGCTTTATGAAGTCGGCTTTCTTAAAGTCGAGAAATTGAGTCCTAGTATGCTTGGCTGCTCCTTTCCGCTGTATAGTAAACTTCAGAAGAGCATGATCACTCGCGCCTAATGATCCTTCCACTTCTACCCCACTAACCAGGTCATCAACATTGGTTAGGACCAGATCTAAAATGGCTGTTCCTCTTGTTGCTTCTCCTACTTTCTGGACAATGAAGTTGTCTGCAAGGGCAGTGAGGAATCTGTTTGACCTTATGCTCTTGGCTGAGTTTGACATCCAACAAATATCTGGGTAATTGAAGTCCCCCATTACTACTATCTCCCTTCCTTTTGCATGCTTGGCCATCTGTTCCAGGAAGGCATCATCTATGTCCTCCGTTTGGCTTGGGGATCTATAGTAAACTCCCACAATGAGGTCACTGTTATTCTTCTCTCCCTTAATTTTGACCCAAATGCTCTCACTTTGGCTTTGAGGTTCTAAATCTTGGATCTCTTCACAGGTATACACATCCCTGACATATAACGCCACTCCTCCTCCTTTCTTGTCTGGTCTGTTTCTTTGAAATAGATTGTATCCCTCCATTATTACATTCCAATCGTGGGATTTATCCCACCAGGTTTCAGTGATTCCTATTATGTCATATTTAGTTTGCTGTACCAGGAGCTCAAGCTCATCTTGTTTATTTCCCATGCTTTGCGCATTAGTGTACAGACATTGAAGTCCATTAATCATTCCCCCGTGTCTCTTATTTAAGGATTTTCTCCTCCCACCACTAGGTCTGCATGCTCTTTGCTCCATTCGGTCTATGACATTTGGATGATCATCTTCATCAATTGATAGACTCCTACCTTCAGGAGCACTGTCTCCCTCCCCCACATTAGTCAGTTTAAAGCCCTCCTGATGAGGTTTCTGAGATTTTTTGCAAAAACATTCCTCCCAACCGTTGTGAGGTGCAGCCCATCGCTTGCCAGAAGTCCATCTTCAAGAAACTGCATTCCGTGATCTAAGAATCCAAACCGTTCCTGTTTGCACCATTTGCGAAGCCAGTTGTTCACTTCCACTATTTTTCCCTCTCTCCCTGGGCCACGTCGTTCAACTGGGAGGACAGATGAGATGACAATTTGTGCATTTAATTGCTTCAATTTCCTGCCCAGAGCCTCGTAATCTCTTTTGATCTTCTGGAGGCTATTGCTTGCAGTGTCATTGGTTCCCACATGAACCAAGAGGAAGGGGTATTTGTCAGTGGGTTTTATGATTCCTTGCAGTCGTTCAGTTACATCTTGGATCTTAGCCCCGGGGAGACAGCACACTTCCCGAGACATCTTGTCAGGCCCACAGATCACTGCTTCTGTTCCCAGATCACTGCTTCTGTTCCCGAGATTTACGTGGGCAGAGGAGCATTAGCTACTTCTGAAAGAAAAATCACACATTAAGAGCAAATAGTTTGGCTCTTATGTACACATAGTTATATGAATGTCAACTTTCCTCCCTTCCTGCTTCCTACAGCTCAGAATGTAGGTAAACTGATTGGTAAATGTATTGGTATTTTTACTTTTGTCTAATCTATAATGGTGGGGATGCGGGTGGCACTGTGGGTTAAACCACAGAGCCTAGGACTTGCCGATCAGAAGGTCGGCGGTTTGAATCCCCACGACGGGTTGAGCTCCCATTGCTCGCTCCCTGCTCCTGCCAACCTAGCAGTCTGAAAGCACGCCAGTGCGAGTAGGTAAATAGGTACCGCTCCGGCGGGAAGGTAAATGATGTTTCCGTGCACTGCCCTGGTTCGCCAGAAGTGGCTTAGTCATGCTGGCCACATGACCCGGAAGCTGTATGCCAGCTCCCTCGGCCAATAAAGCGAGATGAGTGCCGCAACCCCAGAGTCGGTCACGACTGGACCTAATGGTCAGGGGTCCCGTTACCCTTTACCTTTATGTATGTTCAGAAATATTCCCTTTTCCTTTACTAATCTATAATGGATCAAAGTCATTGTTAAAATATTGTTTTAAGCTCCCTCCCCACTTCCCAGAGTGATTTGGAAGTTCCAGAGACAGGTGTGTTTTTTTTGGGGGGGGGGGTTGTTTTGCAGTTTCCCTGTGAAGAAAGAGAATCCTGAAAATGTGTGGTGCCTTGAAAGGATAGGAGAAACTGCATGCATGAATGTGGCACTAGTTCTTAAACCTCTTCAGTCTCCAAAAGCAACAGCAACCCCTCAATATTGCTTCTTGCTACCCTGCTTCAAAAACTCTAAAAGCTATTTTTCTGGCCCAGTTCAAGCTGCCCTTTTCTTTATTCCATTTCAGCGCCTGCCCTCCGGGCAGAACACCCATAGGCAGGCAGGTGTAATCTGCATTCCTAGCTTATCTCGTTTGCCCATTAATTAGCATTCATTATTTGTAGCTGAACCACCAAACAGGACAGCCTAGCTCATAACCATTCCATTTAGCATATTTCCCAGACTCACTAGGGAATATTTCGCTTTCTAGGTGGATGAAGAAGCCTCGCTGTGGTGTTCCTGATCATCCCCACCTAAGCCATAGACGAAGGAGCAAGCGATATGCACTAACTGGGCAAAAGTGGAGGCAGAAGCATATCACATACAGGTGTGTATAATCCAGTATTTTAAAGTTCAGTACATAGATATTCAACTGAGTTCTATAGGGTGTGTGTGCATGTTTGTATGTTATGTAGCAATCAATATCCCTGGGTAATTTTGACTTATTTAATAGCCTGCTGCATATAAATGCCCAGGATACACATTTTCAGTAAGGATAAGCAATTGGAGGCACCTAGTCCAAATCTCTTCCCTTCAGAGGTACTGCCTGCTCCCAAATCGCCCCAGAAGACATGTGACAGGAGTGGCAAGTCAAACCACTGTCTCCCAGCTTCTGTTTCCTATATATAAAATGAAAATACAGACAATTACCGAAGCATTATATTATATTGTATTACATTAGTAACCATGGGTTTGAGCTTTTTTGCTTACATTTTTTGGATATAATTAGTCAGGCTTTTTGTTAAAAAACAACACAATTAATGAGTGACTTGGACATAAGTGGACATTCAGTGCAGCAGGTAGTCTGATGCAGACAAAGCTTGACTGGGTCAGAACTGCCAAATTCCATGTATAAAATTAGCTTAAAATGGATTTCTCCTTCATTGCTTACTGCAAAGGAATTTATAAGTAAAAAGACAACAGGGTCTTTTCTTTCTTTCTTTAAAGCCCTTTAATCATTTATTTTTGCTATCTTTAATCTGATGTCTGACACACTTACTCCCTCTAAACTTAGCTGAAAAGGTGACTTTGTTAGTTATTTTATCTTAATTTATTCCAACCTTGCAAGATGGAAGTGATTGCAAAGTCTGCTTCAGGGAGAATGCTACATTTCAGTCTGCCTAAGTGATGAATTTCAATAGATAATGGTATTTTTAGCTTACTTTATAAAAAAAAAGAAGTAGGAGCCAAAAGTTCCATGTTAAAACTGGACTTAAATTAGGCTCTCCATTCCCCTGTATTCTTTGCTTAGTTATTGGTAGAATGTCCATGAATGCATTCCTTTGTGTGTGTTGCCCCTTTCATTGAAGTAAATGGGGAAATCCCTTTGAAGTGTGACAGCTCCATATGTATCTTTACAGTTTGCCAATTCCTTCCTCAACCTCCACGCATGCAGCAATATGGCTTCGCCACCCTTCTCTCAAGCTTGCTGTGGCACAAGCAGAGAGTGCTGTTTTCCTGTTTGTTACCCTGGATTGGGATAAAAGTGGACAAATTGAACACTGTCCAAGAACCAAAGAGTCATACAGATTCTCTGTACTGGTGTTCTTAAAGCAACAGATAGAGATTTGGTATTCTTCAGGATTTGGGATTCTTTAAGATACTTGGCCACCTGAAAGACTTTGTACACACCTCTAGTATGGACACAGCTATCAATCTAATGATAGCTGCTATAGTAACAATATCCTTCTTTTAGAAAAGAAGTAGATTGCTCCACCTCTCTTGGGTTGTGTTCAGGTTTAGAATCGTAGAGTGGTGGCCAGGAGCAAAAGAGGACAGGGCCTCTGCACCTTTACACCTGCTGAAATTTAGCCTTCTATACAATTATCAAAAGTGCTGAACCCCGGCTTTCTTTTGCATCTCTCATAATGTGATAAGATAAGCGACTTAGTACAGATCAGAGAATAACAAGCACCAGACTACAGTTTCATGCAAAAGTGCTTACTGTTTGTAACGCGTTGGTGCTTCTGGAAATAGATGTCTATGTTTGTTATTTATTTGTGCATGCTTTATGTTGTTTATGGGATGGCATTAAAGGGCATCAGCCCACATGTGCAACTGGCTTCCACTCCATGTGCAACACAAACAGGACTTCCATTCCATTTCCTTCCCTGTACTTCTAGCAAAAAGTGTGCTAGAATGTCCCTGTTTTCTGAGGAATGTTGGAGGGTATGTGTTTGTAAAGAAATTGCCATCCATTAACATAGAGTGATACAGGTTTTACAGAAATGTTTGTATTTAAAACTATTTGGAATTTTTAAATGCAGATTAGGGTTATTTGCATAAGTCAATTTGTATCGGAACATTTTCTGATGCCTTAGATTTGAACATGATCTAATTTAGTACTATTATTATTTTACTTGTGTTTAGTAAACCAGAGATGACTAAGCTCTGACTCTCTGGAACTTGCTCAACTATAGGTCCCAAAACTAAAGATAATAGCAATGAAAATAATTAATTACAACCTTGAGACTGCTTTGTTGTTGTTGTTGTTTAGTCGTTTAGTCGTGTCTGACTCTTCGTGACCCCGTGGACCAGAGCACGCCAGGCACTCCTGTCTTCCACTGCATCCTGCAGTTTGGTCAGATTGCAGTTTTGGTCAGACTCAGACTCATGAGACTGCTAAACTTGCTTAATACTGCATTTACAGTCGGAAAAATAAAATTCTGGACCCCACATCACCGTTTATATGGAGACAATCTTTTCCTTTTAGTTGCCTTGATAGTCAGCTATTGATTTAGTCCCCTGTTGATAATTCCTTGTATAATTTCAGGCTGCAGTGTTTCACAATTTTATCTGAAAATTTGGTAGCTACTTTTTAACTAGAGACTGACAACTACTAATGTATAGCCATGCTTCCCTCTAGTGGTTGATGCTGGTGACTACAACCAATTTTTAAGTGCTGGTTTGATTGATTGATCTTTATTACGGCCATTGGCCCGTTACACGACAGTTTCCCATACCAGCATATTATACTTAAACCTCCAAATTTAAAATCGCCAAAACTTACAAAAGACAAACAATAATCGAAGCAAAACAAAAACAAAAACCACCATCATACCAAAACAGAAACCACCATCATACATTACAATAAATTTGTAACCTATACCAGTGTTTCCCAACCGGTGTTCCGCGGCACACTAGTGTGCCGCGAGACGTTGCCTGGTGTGCCGTGGGAGGGAGTCGGGCGGCGAGAGGCGGGGCGGCGGCGGCAAGGATCCGCGTCGAGCCGGGGGCGGCTCCGCGGTGGTGGTGCCGAGGTTTCTCTCCATTCTCCCCTCACACACACACACAGGAAATAACACAGGATCAGCTGACAGGACCCGGCCAATGGGGCGGCGGCGGGGCAGCGCGCGCAAAAGGGAGGAGCGCGAGACAGCGGACGAGGAGGAGGCCGGCATGTCCGGGCAGCAGCAGCAACAACAGCAGCAGCAACTCCCGGCGACGGCTCCTCAAGCCCCGGGCAACCCTACTCCCTCACCGGCCTCGGCCGCCCTCCTGCTCCACCCGCCGCCGCCTCCCCCGCCGCCGCCGGCCACCTCGGCCCCGCCGCCGCCCCCTCCTCCGCCCGCTATCGCCGCCACCACCACAACAGCCGCCGCCGCCTCAGCTGGGCCCATGCCTGCCGGGAGCGGCGGCGGCAGCAGCAGCAGCAGCGCCCCGGCGCCCTTCCCTCACGGCGGTGACCCGGCCCTGAACGAGCAGGAGAAGGAGCTCAAGCGGCGCCTCAAGCGGCTCTACCCGGCCGTGGACGAGCAGGAGGAGGAGTTGGAGGAGTCCCTCAGTCCCTCGCTTTGCTGCCTCCTCCACCCCCAAAGCTTGGAGGTTCCCCGGCAAGGGAGAGGGGAAAAAATTGAAACTTACACTTTCGTGCGTCCCTCCCGGCGTGACGCTGCGCGCTGACGTCACGGGGCTGTAATGGTGGTGTGCCTCGAGATTTTTTTCATCAATCAAGTGTGCCTTTGCCCAAAAAAGGTTGGGAAACACTGACCTATACATCGCCCTCTGCTCATAAATTAATCAGGGATATCAATGGTGATATCGCCTAAAACATAGATCATGGTTTAAAACAATGGTGATATCACCTAAAACATAGGTCATGGTTTAAAGGGGTTATCCGAATCACACAGGAGACAGTTTCTCTTCTTTAGGGATAGGACGCTGATCAGGAATCTGGCAACCATGAGTGATTTTAGGGGGTCATCATCAGTTAGTAGATATCTCAGTTTGGCTTTAATCGTATCATCGGCAATTCCCTTAAGATATTGAGCAAGAAACTTGCTCCTGGCCGGTAAGTGAAAAGCACAGTCAAAGATTATATGATGCAACGATTCCGGTGCCCCACTATTACAATCACATAAGAGTGATATCTGTCCATTGGAGAATCTATTTCTCAGCACGTTCGATGGGAAGGTGTTGAATCCTGCCTTTACAAAGGCATATCTATGAGCTGAGGAAGTTAGGGAATTCAAATAGTTTGGGAGCCTTAAGAGGGGTAATAAACCAAGGTTTAGAGGTGAGCAGGTACCATTGCCCAAGATCATTTTCTGCTGCAAGTCCATCTCCTCTAGCTTACAGGTTACTGTTCTTTTAGCTGGGACTATGTCCTGCTCTAGTAATTTGGATGGGGAGATTCCCATTGCCATTATTTTCAGCTGTAAATTTTTTACCCATGGGCTCTGGAAATCATCTCTCCACATACATTGTATCAAGTACAAGTTTGGGAGATTGTGCCATAGAGATAACCAGTGACAAAGTATGTGCTTCCACAGAGCATTTTCCAGGGATACAATATTGAGTTCCATGCGTAACGCTGTATTACTTACACAGTTGGGCAGTTTCAATATCCCTCTTAAAAACTGATTTTGAATGACCTCCAGGTGAGATAGGTTGGCAAAAGTCCCCCAGATTGAGATGGCATAAGCAATTGTCGGGATCACCTTGGCCTTGAAGACTTTCAACGCCGATGGGATATGAAGGGCCCCATCGGTGAAGAAGAATCGCAAGATCGCCAAGGAGATAGCTTTGGCTCTATTTGTAACATAGGCTACATGGGCCTTCCATCTGAGGTTATGTTGTAACCAAACTCCCAAATATTGGAATCTATAGACTTGTTCGATGACTCTCCCATCAATTCTCCAATTATGGAGTTTCCGGCTCTTTGAGAAAATCAGGATCTTAGATTTCCCATAATTAATTGTAAGGGAAACCTTTAAATAAGTGCTGGTATTTTAAAGGTTTTCAGACTTTGCTTTGGTTTCTGTGTTTATTCTTTTAGTTAGGAACTCTTGGGCATGCCATGGAACATTAATTATTGCTGAGGATTCAAAGATATGGAGGTGTGACCATGTCTGTTCTTGGCTCTGCCCTTTGTGAGCAGAGTGTGTTCCAGAGATTATGCCTGTTAACAGTTGTCCATGAATGCATGGGAGCAAACGAAGGCTGGAAGTCAACATGGTTCTACAGCAATGGTTCCATCAGCACAAACATTTCAGCTTGCCAGGTGGAATACTCTCAGGCCTCTTCCCCCTGCATGTTGTTCTGGTGGTTCTCCTGTCCCCCACAGAGCCAAAAGGGTGGTACGGGGGGGAGGGAAGACTCATTGCACTAGCAGCACTTCTTGTGCTGACTGCTCCTACTGCAACTGCTTAGTTTAATCCAGGCCAGAATATTTTAATAGGTAGTCTAAAATAAAATATTATAGAGTCAAATTGATAAATTATAATTATTTTTGTTACAATTAATTGCAATTTAAGGGCTGTTACAGATCCAATCCTTTTCATTTCAGGTCCAAAGAATGTTGGCCATATTGATAAAATAGGAGTTTCCACCCTGAAGGGTTATAAAGTTGGCTTATGTAATAAACCATGCTTTAAGGTTCAGTTGTATTGCAAAACTATGATTAAACAAACAAATGAAAAAAGGAGTGAAAACCTCTGACTTCATGGCTATGTCAGAGGTGGGGGTTCCTCATCTGAGTCTCAGAAAACTCGTTCCTGTAATGATGTCATCTATCCTTTCTTTCTTGTAATTCACTGTACCTTTCTTTGCATGTGAGGTGATTCCCCAGTCCCCCTTTCCAGTCATCTAACATTGTTTTTTATCAACATTTATTAATTTTTGTCTTTCTGGTTTTCCTAAACCCTGATTCTTCTCTCTCTTACTCTTCTCATGTGAGAATCTATCAACGTTCTTATCCTTTACTGACATTACTCTAATTCTGTGATATCCTGTGGTTAAATCATCTGTGCTGATCACAGTATTCTAGATGAAGGCAACCCATTGATTTTGTACAATGGTGTAACATTTCATATGCCTTTTCCATCCTGCACATTATCAATAGCAACATGCTTTTCAGACTATAGTCTGCTAAGATCCCTGAGTCAGTCACTTTTACCCATATAAGAAGCAAATGGTACTAGTACTAGATTCTGCAGTCGTTGTGGACAGAGTTGAGCATTGCGGTTGGTTGGTTGGATGGGATGCTAAGCAGTTACACTATAGAGACAGTTCTGTATTACATATGGGGATTATCTGGGATTAATTCCACCAAGTGACCACACTGTCAAGCTGATTGGCTTTCTGTATAGCAGCTTGTGGAGTTTATCCCACTGCCAGGTTTGCTGCTATGTAGGGTTTTGAATAGAGATATGATGTATTGGGGCCTCTAAACTATATCCAAATAGGTTCCTGTTTCTGGACTGAGACAACATTGCGAGGAGAGGTTACACTGAATCAACCCATCCAGTCTCCAGAATTCATAAATGCTTTGCCAGTCTGGTAGCCGAAAGGGTTGAGCACAGCCTTCATAATTTGCATTCCAGATTCAGTGCAGAACTGTGATTAGGAAATAAAGGTATATTAAAGGTAAAGGGACCCCTAACCATTAGGTCCAGTCGTGGCCGACTCTGGGGTTGTGACGCTCATCTCGCTTTATTGGCCGAGGGAGCCGGCATACAGCTTCCGGGTCAAGTGGCCAGCATGACTAAGCCGCTTCTGGCGAACTAGAGCAGCGCATGGAAAAGCCGTTTACCTTCCCACTGGAGTGGTACCTATTTATCTACTTGCACTCTGACGTGCTTTCGAACTGCTAGGTTGGCGGGAGCAGGGACTGAGCAATGGGAGCTCACCCCGTCGTGGGGATTCAAACTGCCGACCTTCTAATCGGCAAGTCCTAGGCTCTGTGGTTTAACCCACAGCACCACCCGCGTCCCTTGCAAAGGTATATTACTGTGTCCAAAACACTTCCCGTATGTCCAGTTGGGAACTCATGATCCTGCCATCTGACCAAGCCTTGAGTATTCATATTGAGAGGACAGTAAATGGCTCTTATTAGTGGTGGCCTTGTTGTTATGGATTAGCTGTTGGAATGCAATACTTTTAAGTCATTACGTTTTCTGAATTTTGTTTTTAAACCCTCTAGTTATTATTATGTAGGAAATATTTGTAAACCTCATAATGTGTACCGTACCTGAAAGGACTCTCAAAATATATCAAAGGGCTCAAAATGTAGTATTACGGTTGTGTCGATCTGAGTCCTGAAACATGTTTGTTAACATCAGAGAATATGAAATTCTCTGAATGAATCCTCCTAAATAAACCCCTTCTCATCTTCTTCACAGTGTTCACAACTACACCCCCAAGGTTGGAGAGCTTGATACAAGGAAAGCCATCCGGCAAGCATTTGATGTTTGGCAGAGGGTGACTCCGCTCACCTTTGAAGAAGTTCCTTACCATGAAATTAAAAGTGACAGAAAAGAGGCAGATATTATGATATTTTTTGCTTCTGGTTTCCATGGTGACAGCTCCCCTTTTGATGGGGAGGGTGGATTCCTAGCCCATGCCTATTTTCCTGGACCAGGGATAGGAGGCGATACTCATTTTGATTCAGATGAACCATGGACATTGGGAAATTCTAACCACGATGGTAAGATGACATGGGGTTTTTATAACAGTATTTTTGATATGACATTTCATGAGGCAGTTGGCTTGCAGAAAGGAAGAGGTGTCATCACAGGACTTCCTGTAAGAATGTGGTCCGAAGTTTGGTGATACTAAGGTGGACAAAAATCCATGCTCCCCCCCCCTCCTGCCCAAGAACATGAGTTTGCCCTCCAAAAAATAATGCCAGTTTTGCTTATAAATCCAAAGCAATATGAACCGACAGATGAAATTTAAATGGCACTCTGATCTAGCTGCCTGAGAAACTAGAACAATTCTCAGGGAAAAGGGAAAAGGGAAAGAGAGAAAATTAATTGGTGAAATTAAGTTTACACAAAAAGATTAATTATTGTAAGTACTAAGTAAATATGACATCAAATGTGTTAGATGCATTTGAGATCCAAACTGCACCCAGATCTGTGCTATTGACATTTGAACAGGATGTACATTTCTAACACCCTACATACAAAAGTCCAAATAGAAGAATTAATTCCTGGATTTGGGGATCTGTGTCTACGCTAGTTGGTCTTTAGGGATGTCCAATCTATTCAAACATCATTCTTGTGCATCAATGTTCAGAAGAGTCTTGGGATAAAACAACCCATTAGTTGGGGCAAAAAGGCCCATTGATGGTAGAAAAGACTGTTGTCCAATCTGGGTTCAAATAAATTTCAAGTGAGTGATTCTGTAGCCCAAGGTCTGATGATAGCATCTTTTGCAGAGACGATGCTGTGCAGTGATGCTTTTCCAGTAAAGTCCATGCTATAAATACAATTATTATTTTTTAACAAGGCTTCACTGTGAAATGTTCTCCTCTAATTATGGTGATTATGTGGGAAATACAAATATTTTAAATCCCAGTATATTCTTCAAGTAGGTAATACCACAGTATGAAGCCACCCACCCTCTGAGGCTGTTACCCAGAGGCTGGGGGGAAAATAATTGGATGTAGAGTGCTCAGCTGTGATGAGGGTACTTGGAGAAAATAGATACACTACTTGATTGTTTCAGGGATTTTGTTAAAACAATGGTTCTCAGAAGTCTCTCTCTCTATATATATTTGTACCGATTCTACTGATTTTGTATTATTGTTCCCCACCACAGTATTTTTCTGGTTTCATGTTGTGTGATGAGGTTGCCTTACTCCACTATAGAAATTACATGAATATAACATAAACATAGTATCTCCTCCATGAATGTGGGGCCGTGATTGCTGCTAAAATTGGCTTCTGCATGGTTGGGACTCCACATGACTGTCATTATATATACAATTGCTTAAGAAGCCACTGTGGGAGTCTTAGTGTCCTATGGAGTTGCAGTGCTAGTATGGGGACTTGCTATACATTTCAGTTGATTCATGTAGGAAGTCTGCTATAAGTGGAAAGGCAGTGGTATAGTTACTGCCCAAAACTGCTTTCAGGGCTCCTTGTGAATGCTGTAATATGGATATTAAGCATTTGTTGTTTATGTACTACTCACACTTCGCATCAGATCATTGTGAAGTTGCCATTTCTCAGCTACCTAGAGTTAATGAAAACACATCCTATTTTACCATCACCTTGACCAATTATCATTTAAGAAATATTTTGTATGCCCCAATCCTAAGCATCTTACTTTGGTGCCTCTCCCAGTAAGCAGCGAGCCCTTCATGTTTAATTATTGTAAATGAAAATGTATTTTTAAAGATTAGAGAGAAGGCAGAACAAATATGGAACAACTGCACAGCAAAATAAACTACAGATTCAGAGTTCTTAAGATGCATTGGTTAACTCCTATATGCCATCCTGGTTGAGAGCGAGGTGGCACCCCCTCTCCCATGATGAAGTAGACTTTCAAAATCTGTATCCCAGGCAGGTGAACCCTTCTCCTCAATTTTTTCAAATAATGTCCTTTCAAAACTGGCAGTGTAGTCCCTTTCTCCCTTGCTTTGAAAATTATACTGATTACCAAATCATACTTCTTTAGCCCCCACCACTTCCATCAGCTATACAGCCAAACATTTAGGGAAGGGCTGTGGCTCAGTGGTAAAACAGCTCCAGGTTCTGCTAGTACAGACTCCTGCTGGAAATATTGGAGAGCAGTCAGTGATGCCGAACTAGATGGAACAATGGTCTCACGCGGTATAATGCAGATTTTGATGGTCCTGAACCTAGATCCACAGCAGGCTGAATCCTGGGCATTGACATTTGCATTGATTTTATATAAATATATATATGCAGGCTGTTGTTGGTGTGGCAGGTATAGGGATTTATTTGATTAACCTGACTGCTGGTGACCTGAAATGAATTCTGGATCACTTAGTACTTTTGAAAGGTGGTGAATAGCATGAAAAGCCCAGTGTGTAATTAGGGGCTCCAGGTGCTCTGCAACAAAATTGTTCTATTCTACACAAACCAGTAATTTAGTGGATTATTAGCTTCTCATGAACAGTTGGGTACAGAGAAATCCTGGGCCTCTGCAGCCTTCCTATAACTCAAGATGGCTTTGCTTCACCCATAATGCCCCAAGGACTGTAGATTGGGGGTGGTATCCTAACTAAGGCTGTGTGAACCATTTACTCAGCACTCACTATGTTTCCAGTGCTAGGCTATAATTCCATGTTCACATGGCGTTATCCAAAATGCATTCGTATCCTGTGCTTTGCCATGAAATATTACTGTCTGATGTGTTTTTTCTCAAATCAGCCTCTCTCCGACTGGAATCCTTAAGTCATTCCTAATTTGTCTCTAGACAAGCTGTGAAACACCTTGGCATACAAATCTGAAACAAATGAAGCCATGAAGCTGTGCTAATGTGAACAGCTGGGGTGGCATTGGGGGAGGGGGAGAGCCGTGAAATTCACAGCAGAGGTATGGGGGGGGCACTCACTGCAGTCTGAGGCAGTAATGTCAACACCCCCAAACTATACTTGGAGAAGTCCACTGATGTTAGTGAGTCTATTCTTAGTATGATTTCATTGGGTGCCACACCACATGATTTAGATAAGGCTGTTCCACACTTTGCTGTCATACCCTAAATTCAGATAGCACCTGTACTTTATTCAAACACTGTACTGCAAGAACTAAAAAGGACAGCCACTAGTGACAAAATAAATGCCTATGCCTTGACGCTGGACTAAATTAGGAGCTTTTCTCCAGACCTTACCGAACCTTTCAGATGACATGTCAGGTTTTTTGCAGTTCCAAAACAATTTTGATTTCTCAGGTTGTTTTAAGATCTGCTCTTAGAACTCTCCTCTGTTGCCTTTCTGAAAATCAGACAGCTATTACGACAGAAAAAAATTGACTTAAGTGGATGAAACCATTTCAACATTCTATCCACTTTCTTTTATCTACTTTGCTATATTATCTGCTTTGCTATCCTATTAAAGGGGCTCATCTAATCTTTGCCATCGTATTAAAACTATCTCCCTTCTGTCATTCCTACTTGTTTAGACCCTAGTCACATGTTTGTTTCATTTCTCTTACTTTTCAATGTGCTGCCCCATGGTTAGGACTGCCTTTCACTTATTTTCAACTTACAGAACTGAAATAAATGAAGAGTGTCTCATTAATAATATTGTTGCCATGCTGGCAAAGCTTAATTCTCAGTTTAATAACAAAGTAGGGCAGTTATAGACAGATTAGGATCAACCACATTTTACTTTAAATAATCATGGTTTTGTTGTCATTACTCTCAACCACACATGTGATTTATTTTATGGCCTACTTGTTTAATAACCTTGTCTTTATTTATCAGATTACTCCTGTTTTGACAGCTAACCACCCCTCACTCTTTGAGGACATCCATTTTCATGTTGATAAGAATCAGTCCTCCCGATTTCCCAAATGAAACTGTTGTACTGTTTGTAACTGTTTATTTGATTTTATTTGCTCTGATCCCAAGACTCCGAATGGATTTTTTAAAGGCACAATTTTGTACCGAAAAACAGAATTCCAAAATCTATAGCCACGAAACTTTTAATACCCTTTGCCTCAGTCCTTTGCTTCATGAGATGTCCTTGAGCAACAAAGCCATTTGATGCAAGAAAGGGCATGTCTAGGATGCATTTTTGCCTCCCTTATTTTGATGCTGTTCTGACTCTCATTAGCTTCTAGTCATCACTTTCCCTAAACTCCAAAAGCCCAGTGCTACATATTTTACTTTTAAGATGCTGATCAGGGACTTCTTCACAAACAGTTAATTGAATCTGGGGCATATGTCTTTAGACTCAGGTTTTACATTTCTCTCTCTCTCTCTCTCTCTCTCTCTCTCTCTCTCTCTGACTTCTCAAAATATATTCTCTCAATTTTGCAGAGTGATTCAGTCATTGTCTCTTTTGCTGGTTTAATTACACATTGTCAACAGTCTTTTGCAATCTCTTATCACATTATATTTAGCGGACAACAAAGACTCTGTTGGTGCCTTAAAAGATGAATGTGTCTGTTGTGCCATAAATATGAACCAGGGACTTCCTGGTCATGCTCTTACCAATTGCAATGCACCAGCTACTGCATCTGATGTTCATCTAATTAGACAAGACTTATATTTAAAAGTATTCCTGCTGAGCCTCTATAGTTGCTGGATAAACTGCTTTATCTTCTTCTTTAGAATTTTGTTAAGCTTGTTAATAATAATAATAATAATAATAATAATAATAATAATAATAATAATAATAATAATAATAATAATTTTTTATTTATATCCCACCCTCCCCAGCCGAAGCTGGGCTCAGGGCGGCTAACAACAATCAAAATAATCCAACATTCTAAAAACATTCATTATAAAATTAATTAAAATCAAATTAATGGCAACCATTAAGCAACATTCTGTGCAGATTGCCAGAGGAGGGGGTCAGGCTGTGCCCTGATCAAAGGCCTGGTGGAACAGCTCTGTCTTGCAGGCCCTGCGGAAAGATGTCAGGTCCTGCAGGGCCCTAGTCTCTTGTGACAGAGCATTCCACCAGATTGGAGCCGCAGGCGAGAAAGCCCTGGCTCTAGTTGAGGCCAGCCTAACCTCTCTGTGGCCTGGGATCTTCAGGATGTTTTTATTTGCAGACCGTAAATTTCTCTGTGGGACATACCAGGAGAGGCGGGCCCGTAGGTACGAGGGTCCTAGGCCGTATAGGGCTTTAAAGGTTAAAACCAGCACCTTAAACCTGATCCTGTACTCCACCGGGAGCCAGTGCAGCTGGTATAGTACCGGAGGAATGTGATCTCGCAGCGAAGACCCCATAAGGAGTCTCGCTGCGGCATTCTGCACCCGCTGGAGTTTCTGGGTCAGTCTCAAGGGCAGCCCCACGTAGAGCGAGTTACAATAATCCAGTCTTGTTAATTTTGTTAACACCCTATGGATGTTGACGCTGATGGTTGTAACATCTTGCCTCTGTAGGAAATGACCTCTTTCTCGTTGCGGTGCATGAACTGGGCCATGCCTTAGGTCTTGAGCACTCCAATGACCCCAGCGCCATCATGGCTCCTTTTTATCAATATATGGAAACGCACAACTTTAAGTTACCACAGGATGACCTTCAAGGAATCCAGAAGATCTATGGTAAGATGGTACCTGTTTTACTAATTGCCATTGGCAGGATGCCAATTCCTCAACGCCTCCCATAAGCTCAGGCAAATTAAGGCACTGAAATATACAGATGTATATATTTATCTGGGATGTGTGGGCATGTGGTGGCTGTGCCCATGTTGTTGTTTTTTTTAATAAAACTTATAGCAAGGGAAAACACACTTAAAATAACTCCCACTTATTTTTCATTACCAATCAATTGTTCATGTAAATAAACCTCTTCAGGAAAATGATCAGGGTCTGGGTTTGACACACTGCAGTAAAAACAAAGATGACTTCCAAAGCTGAATGGCAGTCACCTAAAACTGCCTCTTCCCATGTCTTGCATCTTGGTAACTGATAAACAGGGCACTCTTAGCATACTGTCATCAGGGAACCTTGAGGCCTTTCCAGATGTTCACTGTGAGCAATGAACAGGTCACTGAGCAGGTGAGCAGGATGCATATGAGGTGACTTTCCCTTGTAACTGCATGGGGAAAATGCATTCCCCCCCCTACTGTAATATGCTGCTGGCTGGTAATATTCCATTTCCATCCTGCGCAACTGTTGTGAGTATAACCAACTAGTAGAATAGTTGCTCAAGTCTGACAAATATTTCAGTGTTCAATCTTCCTCTCTTACTCCCTTCCCCCAAACTGTCAGCATTTTAAGAAGTATTTCAGACTGCAATATCAATACGGAAGGGAATTCTTAGCCAGATTTTATATAGTACCAATTCCAGCAATGCTGCCCTTTCTCCCACAGCAACACTTTGCCACTGTTTGATCCTTTGCCTCCTTTTTCTGTTTTCATGTAGTTCTATGGACTCCCCCTTTCCAGTACTGGAACACACATCTTTACTGACAACCACCCCCTTAAAATAACAATGAAGAGAAGAGCAGCAAAACACACACACCCACACACCCACACCCACACACCCACAATGAAAAGAGCTCTCCCTTTCAGTGTTATCCTACTTGTGCAGCAAGGCCACACCCTTCCAATGGGATATTGTGGTGCTGGTACCATGTAACAGTGTTCCAAAAAAACTAAATTGTGAGGGTTTCTAATACCTCAGTGATTACGACATGAGAAGCAGCATAAAAATGAGAACTCAGTCAAGATGAAGAGTGTTCCACTGTCATGATGTCACCACCGAGAAGGTTTTTCCCCTGGCAGCCAGTTCTACTGTCTTTTGGATGTTGAAGAATAAGGAAAACGAAGACTAGATTACAACCAACATGTGGAGACAGGCAGTCCTTCAGGTACCCTGGCCCCAAGTTGTGAAGAGCTTTAAAAACCCAAACTGGCACTTTGACGTAGGAGTTAGTGCAGTTGAAGCAACAACATATGACCATAATGCCTAGTCACAGTTAGCTCAAGAGTACAGGGGCTGGCTAGATTGCCAATGCAGTCAGTGTCTGAACAATCTTCAGAGGCGGACCCATGTATGAGATACTTCAGTGGCCTAATGAGGTTACTAGAATGCAGGAAAATAAATTGGTAAGAATTTACCATGTGTGAATCAGCCCTCTTTATCATGCTGCCAAGTTGCCGGGGTGCAGAGTGGGGAGAGACTTATGATACACCCAGTGCAGTTGTGTGGTTAAATGGTCACCTGTATCCAACCAGATACACTACTCCTTTTGCAAAGGGGCCAACACTTTTTTCTTTGGCTCCAGCCTGAGACAGCTTCAATTTGCAGAATCTGGAGCTGGCTCCTACTGTTCACCACCTGAAAATAGCCACTTCCATCTTATACACCTCTCCTGACTCCAGCTATAGGACATTCCTTTACAAGGTTTGTGGCGAAGGAATAGAAAGTATATGTATAAACTATGTGAATTTGATGTATGCTTTTGCAGAGGGTTGCTTCTGAGGGCCTTATTGCTATGCAGTGGGAGCAGTTAGCTCTCATTGAGATTTTAGATCCTGATATACTATACAGCAGATACAACAGCAAATTTTGGAAACAGCAACCGAGACAAGGGGAACTTTAAAAACCTAGATTACTAGGTTTTATTTAGTTTAGACTCTTGGATTAAGTTTGAGGTACTGGGATGCAAAGGAGTAAAATAGGGTGGCTTTGGGGACAAGTTAGAGTCTTATCGTTTGTTAGATTTCCTACCTATCCTTCACCATGAGGTCCCAGGTAGGAAAGAGATCTAATAATAATTAACTATGAGGTCCTAGGAAAATGGATGGGCCAGTTCCAATGCAAAGGTCAGGTGCTGTTGCTAGATGATGTTACACAAAAGTATGAGCATGATTGGGATGAGAGAGCAGGAGACTCTTAATCTCAGGGTCTTGGGTTCAAGCCCCACATTGGAAAAAGATTTCTGCATTGCCGGGGTTGGACTAGATGACCCTCGTGATCCCCTCCAACTCTACAATTCTATGATTCTGTGATCTACAGCCAATAATTTTGACAGCAAGTTGAGGATGGTGATTATGTCTGTGGTGGAAGGAAAGATTTTGAGGAAGAAATGGGAAGGAGTGTTCAAGCTTTGTGATGGTCTTTCAAATGATGGGTACAATATTCAAGCTGCTAATTAGTTTTCTCTCTTCCCTCTTTTTTTATTATTATTTAGGCCCACCTGCTGAGCCACTAGAACCCACTAGACCTTTACCAACCCTTCCTGTCCGTAGAATCCATTCTACTTCAGAAAGAAAGCACGACAGACATTCGAGACCTCCCAGACCTCCTCTAGGAGACAGGCCTTCTACCCCAGGCAGTAAACCAAACATTTGTGATGGGAACTTCAATACTGTGGCTCTCTTCAGAGGAGAAATGTTTGTTTTTAAGGTAGTGAAAATCATCCTGTCAAAGCTGTTTTCATTAATCTTTATATATTACAAATGCATGTATTATTAATTAAATGCCACCAAAATTTCTTGGTATTTTAATCTCTGCAGTTTTTTTATTGGTAGATGTCTTGGTTTGAAGATTTGATAATAAATTAGAATGTTTGTTGTGATAGCTGAAAGAATGTGTTTCCTTCAGTAACACTTAAATTAAGTGAAACTTCTTAAATCTAGGACAAAAATATATATCAATTTTTCACTTGCTTCCAAACGAGCCCTGCAGATGTAGTTCCTGTTTCCAGCATTTGTCCTGATCAATGAATCTTCTCTAGTATTCCAGAATTCTACCTTCTTAATGAACAGTGTGTGTAGATCAGACATGTGTGAGACTCTTTGGATTGTATTCAATTAACTTTTACTCAGAGTAGACCCATTGATCTGCTCAGAGTAAAAGATGAACACAGCCCTCTGTGATTCACTCTGGTCCTGCTACTGAATTTTATTTTGAGACTTTAAACATAGAGAATATCATAAATAATAAAGTACACTATTATTTTGTCTGGGGTAATGATTTGGTTGTAGGAATAGTGAGAGAAGTTCTGAGCAGGGCAGGAAATTTGGAGCTTTTGGAGGTGGCAGTTAGTGGCACTATTTGGCACTTTTTTGAGGTGGCAGTTAGTGCTTGGTAAGACTGGTTTTTTATGACTGGTACCTAATATAAGATAACAAAGCAGTGGAGGAGTCTAATTCTGCCTGAGAGGAACACTGACTGATATTAGGAAACCTGAGGGTGCTGTGATATTTTAAAATTAACTTAATCACTTCATGTTGGAATCTGATGTAGACATTTAACAAGACTCTTCTTTTTCCTTCTTCTTTTTCTTTTAGGACCGCTGGTTTTGGCGTCTCCGTAACAACCGAGTGCAAGAAGGCTACCCCATGCAGATCGAACAGTTCTGGAAAGGGCTCCCTGCAAAAATTGATGCTGCCTATGAAAGATCTGATGGAAAATTTGTTTTCTTTAAAGGTAAACATTTTGAGGTTGTATCCAGCGCTGTGTGAGTGAACTCCCCCTTCCTGTTGTCCCCCAAACCTGCTCCAGAGGAAGGCAAAGTCCCATTGACTGCTGCTGATTATATCTTACCCACCCTCCTCTCCCGCTTTTTTGCCTAGGCGATAAATACTGGGTTTTCAAGGAGGTGACTGCAGAGCCAGGGTACCCACACAACCTAGTGGAACTGGGCAGCTGTCTTCCCCGGGAAGGGATCGACACAGCTTTAAGGTGGGAGCCTGTAGGCAAAACCTATTTCTTCAAAGGAGACCGATATTGGAGGTATAATGAAGACAAGAGAGCAACAGATCCCGGCTACCCCAAACCCATCACTGTGTGGAAAGGAATCCCACAAGCCCCGCAAGGAGCTTTTGTCAGTAAAGAAGGCTGTAAGTATTAAGCTTATTTAGCAGCTTAGTAGTGTTTAATAATCCTCCATGTGTTGAACTTTGCATTCAGATTGTATTAAAGCCTGAACATTTACAAGATTGCAGACACATGTAGTCATGGACATATCCACCCACCCCAAAGTAAACTTGAGGCAGATATTTGTTTCATAGCACATGATATTCTTCCTAAACTGGGTGATTGATTGGTTTTCATCGGAGTTTTCCTCTGATTTTAATAATAAAAATATATATATCAGTTTTTCTTATCCCCATGAATGCAAGTACAGAAGCAAAAGTTATTTTCTTTGCATAGGGTAAGATAGATTTCCCTCCCTGCTGTTATCCAATAAATATCATACAAACCATCTGTATTTCCAACATAACCACTCCTGCCATATACTGAATATTTTCTCTTTGCTGCACACCTCCAGAATATGTGAATGGCACAGAATGGAATAATATCTGTTTTCTTTTCCAGTTTATACCTACTTTTATAAAGGTAAGGAATACTGGAAGTTTGATAACCAGAGGCTGACTGTGGAGCCGGGATACCCCAGGTCAATCCTCAAAGACTGGATGGGCTGCAACCAAAAGGAGGTTGAACGGAGCAAAGACCGGCGGCTCTCTCACGAAGACGTGGACATTATGGTGACTATAAACGATGTGCCTAGCACTGTCAATGCAATTGCAGTCGTGATCCCCTGCATTTTATCTCTGTGTATCCTTGTCCTGGTATACACAATCTTCCAGTTCAAGAACAAAGAGGTCCAGCAAAGCGTGACCTATTACAGACGACCCGTACAAGAGTGGGTATGACAGGCTCACCAGCTCGTTGGGGCTGACAAGACGGGAGAAGACGGTGACGACTATTGAGGATGGTGGCAACAGGCTGCAGACATTTTGAAAAAAGGGGGAGATTGAAGGATAGCCTGCCAAACAAACATACATAACTCTTCAAGAGACTTAGATGAGTCAGAGAGAATTCTGGGACTGAAAGAACAGGAACAAAATTCAATTAAACCCAGGTGGCCTTGCACGGTGGAGCCGCTTTCCTTCTGACTGACTGCCTCAGTGCCGTGTATGTCTCGGTGTGACATTTTTCACCAACCCACTCAGTGAGTGTCAGAGACCTCAAGAGGAGTTTGCTTCAACCTTTTTTCAACTCACCCGAGCAATCTTCTTCAGTGCCCTCTTTCAAACCCAGCATTTGCCAGTGTAGCCAAACACCTCTCAACAAGTTGTTTTTTTCTACACTTGTCTCATCAAAAAGAGAGATAATACTGTGGGACACAAAAGGAACACTTCAGGACCTTCTGAAGAAGACATTCTGAGGCTGAGTCATTCTGAAATATTTTAATTTATTACAGGAACCAGGCAATTACCTGGATACTGTTTTTTTTCCAATACCTGCTGGTCAGATGTTTTGTACATTCATGGTAATTAGCTGATGTTCCCACTCTGCAATGGCAGACACACATAAAGAGCTCTTAGGAGATAATTCTGTGTAGACCACGACTTCAAACAGCTCTAAAGCCAGATCAAATCACAACAGCAACCAGGAACCGAAATTTGTGAATACAACCAGTCTGCAAGACTAAGCAATTGGGTTTGAACACTAACATGAATGCAGCCCTTAAAACTCTTTGTTTTTAAGAACCTGTCATGTACTAAATATTTAAATGTCATATTACCACTATTTTAAGTTGGCAACAATAAATTAATTGTTACCATTATAAGATTAAAGGCAGATTCTGTGATATTTAAGAATGTAAGAAGGCTCCTGCTGAATGAGGCCAAAGGTCCATCCAGCCCAACATTGTTCTTACAGTGGCCAACCAGATGCAAGCCACAAGGACATGCGGGTTCCCCAGTGATTGGCACTCAGTAACATACCACCTTTGATACTGTATATGGTACTCTGCAAATACAAGTCCCCTTGATCCTTTTTCTTTTATAAATGGAGGCCAAGTGGCATGTACATTAGGATGCTTGATATTCTTTAACAAAATTATGATGAGAATTGTAGTTGCAGTAGTGCAGGAAAGGAGTGGCATCTAGAAGGAAATTCATGTTTTAAAAATCTGATTTGTTTATTCAAGAGGCACTTTATCATGAGTGGGAGGTTATCCTAAAGGTTGCAATTTAAAAACTTTAATCTGGCAAATTCTCCAAAATGTATAAAGTAAATTGCAATATTTTATAGTATCGGTGCTTAAATGATCTTGGTGTGCCATATGTATCTTTAAAACAAGAGAGAAAGCTGCACGTATCTTTTAGACTACTACAGCGGATGGCATTCACTAGTTGTGCTCTTGATGGCCTGGTAGAAACTATCCAACTCTGCTTTCCAGGTAGGTATAAAAACTAAGTATTTCTAGTTTACTCATAGGCTAGACAAACCAAGTTGGTTTATTTTGATGCAGTATATTTTTGTCATTCTTGTTGGCAAGACATCGATCTTTTTTGCCTTTTCAGGAGATTCTCTACTTGCTGTTATGCTAGAGACCTATTGGAAATTATAGGAATCAGAGAAAAACCTTTTGGGGTTTTAATTTTTATTTTCATATCACAAGTTCATGTTGCCAAAACTCTTAAGGACAACACCCAACATCACAGAGTCTTTCCTTTCCTAAATTTTCCCCAAATCTGCTATGGAGTGTTCCCCAGTCCACTGGAGCAGATTTTGAGATGGGACAATCCATTCTGCCAACTGTGTCTGTTCTGCTAGTGGCCTGATCCCAACCTTTTTTATGCCAAAATAATGGAGATGCAGGGCCCACTTGCGAGGAGAGGTGCTTATCCCATGTCCACTGACTGTCGTCTGCACATCCACTCTAGGCTTTCCAACCCCTCAAACTGGGGTAAATATCATGAACTGTTCAAGGTGGGGTTTCCATTCCCTCCCCCATAACTATCCCAAATTCATCAAATTGGTATTATGGGTGAGACACTGGATTGTCCCAGTTTCAGCATGTAACAGTAACTAGAAGATACTTCCCTTATATTACCTTCACTTTCAGGTGAAAGTTTAGAAAAGCAAAGCCATGTCACACTTAAAAGCGGATACACTTAATATATTTGATGTTGCCTTGAAAGCTCATGCCACAATAAGGCAGTCGTAAGGTGCTACAGCATTTTGCCTTTTTTTGCAGCTATTGATTAAGTATCAACTCAGGGGGAGGATGGCAAGCATGGTTTTTAGATAGGCCATGTTGACTTTTAGTAGTGCATGCAAGGAGTTGCTTCTGTGAACCAACATAAACCTCAGTAAATTGTGTGTGGTTTGCATGCAATCGCTATTAATACAGTGAACCTGAACAGATGTGAAAGTGTTACAAACAGTGAAATGCAGGTTGACAGTACTTGCTCATATGCTTTTTGCCATCCCCAAATACTGATTTATATGTGAATTTAATTGCAACACTGCAAAAGCTTCAAAGAGTTGGGCAGAGTAAAATATCTGGACTCAGCTATTCTATGAAACTCTTAATATGGTTTTGTTGTGCATCCAGGAATAACTTTCACACTATCAAGCTTTTTTTCAGCACAATTCCAAACATTTGTTCAGTAGCACTTTATAAACTAACTAAGTTTGTTCTGGGTATAAGATTTCGTGTGCATGCACACTTCTTCAAATACCATCTGAAGAAGTGTGCATGCAACGAAAGCATATACCCAGAACAACCTTAGTTGGTCTCTAGGGTGCTACTGGACAATTTTTTAATTTATTTCAACTGCATCAGACCAACACGGCTCCCTACCTGAATCTAATTCCAAACACTGCTACTGTTCTGAAATTAGTCACGTGAGAAGCATAAAATTTCCAGGGCAAATACTTGATATAATCTAGAAGTTGCATAACTGTCTTATGGCAATCCATTTTTGCTTTAGAAATAATTAAAATTGCCCCTAAAGCTTTATCTGCTTTAAACATCTTGGAAGCCTCCTGCTGAGTCGTCCCTATGTAACACATCATCAAGATCACATATGCCGGTATTAACTAGATTTAGAGTTTTGCCCCATATCTAATTCTGTCAGACTATCCACTTATTTAAAAGATGCTGCCAATCATATGGAATCAATAGGATTTCATCCTTGTCTTGCAGCTCTGCTTTGAAAACACCTCCTTGCTGATACTTGATCTTACCCTAGTACCTAAAATTATTATCTTACTCAATCTGTTATAATGTCCCATCTCATTATTATTTGAGTCAGATCTAAATTTTATAAAATCACATTATTTATTAATTCCTTATCTACACTGTTATGTATCTAAATCTACTTGTGTTACAATCCAAATTGACACATTTATTAAAGGAGTTTGTCATTTTGCCATACCACACAAACAAAGTGCTCATGAAATCAAACACCAGCACATTTATTAAAGGAGATTGTCATCTTGTCATACATTTTTAAATGAATGCTTGTCAGGACACTTGAACAGCATCTGTTGTTTCCAAACTCTCTAAAAATTTGAGACTGGCCAATTTATTAATATTCCAATAAATCTGCCTGCTCCTAAGGTGTTACATTTCTGGTCCTCCTGGATTTCAGAGTTTTTGTTTTTTGCTGTTTTCAGGCAGAAATATTTTGCTTTTCTAATCTGTTGATGGGAGCTTGTTTCTAGATTCCACACTTAAGGTGTTAAATGTACTTTCCATTTCTTCCATATTCATAATAGATTTTTTTAAAAAACCAAGTAGTCTCTTTCCTACTGGTTACTGCGTAAGTTATTTGTTCCCCTTTTCTTAAACATTCTATCCATAACTTTTGCTAACATTTAAAGGCTGCTGCAGAAGGTTACATTTGCTTCACAGAGCAGTCTGGCTGCTCTCAGAAAAATAGCCACATGGCAGAAGAAAATGTCTAGTCCTTTGTGCACACTCAATCTCTTAGTTGTCATCTGTGGGTCAGATAGCTAAATCAAATGTCACTGCACTCACATCTGGGATACAGTGGTTCAGCAATTATTATTCAATGTGGCTGCACTTAAAGGCATATATGGATGCTAAGATGTTATTGGACTCCCAACTCCCGCCAGCCTAGCCAATAATCAGAGATGATGGGTGCTGTATTTTAGAACTGTCTGGAGGATCAAAGATTCCCCACTCCAGTGTAATACACCTTCAGCTGCTTTTAACTTGCACCATGATTCATTACTGGGATGTGTTTGAGCTAGATGTAGTAAAACATGGAGTAGAGTGTGCTGGATCACCTTACAGAGGAAGACAGGGGTGATTTTGTAATAGCCAGGAACAATGAGAAAAGATAGATGGCACAATTGAAACAGGTACTTTGGCCAGTAAACTGCAGCAGGGAAAGCTATGAAATCATAAAGTAGCTATGGAAAGTTTTCAAGTAAAAGCCAGATTGTTTAACAAAACTTATGTGTTCTTTCAGATCTCTTTGATGCAGCCCTCATCCCTTATACTGAATACCAGTATCAATGTCCAGAACAACAGTTTCTAGCTTTAAGGTTTATTAGTTTTAACTGCCTTTGGCATTAAGCCTCAACCAAGTGACACCATCACCTACTTCCAAGGATTGTTTCTATCGCTGCGCAACAAAGCAGAGCCTCATAAGAGGCTTAAGATACAGGTTGCAAAGTAGTTTCTTATGACTGAATTGTTAAGGAAGTGTGCATACAACAAAGAGGTCAAAATAAATTATTTCCACCCAGGCTATTTTCTCTAAAGTAAAGGCTCTTCATAACTTCAGCAGAGGGATGGATTGGTCTTTCACCTGGTCTTCCTCCACAGATAAAGGCCAGTGTCATTTCAGAGAACTGCTAGCACATGTTGGCTTTACAGAATTATAGGGTTATGGCAAAAAGCTCCATGGCTTATTTCAGTCCTTTTAACAGGCAGTGTCTGACTACCAAATTTACATAAGACAGCTACATTAATCTAGGCTGCAGGCTATGTAAAAATGATCCAGTAGAAATCCCAGCTGTGTCTGATCGAGAAATGATAGCTGGTTCAGGCACATGCCGGTGAATGCAGAAGGAGAAAACCATTTTCTTTTGTTTTTTAACCATTATTACATGTAATGACATTTTTAAACATTTTTCGATAACATACAGTCGCAATTCGAAAATTATCTCATGAATTAATGAAAGCAGGCCATATTAGCAGAAGTAACAAAAAGGGGCACAGGTGTGTAACATTGTAGTTTAGAAATGCTGATTGTTGTATACCCTTCCTGGTCTAGGTCTGCAGAGTAATAAACAGAGCATTTACTTCAGTGAGCAATCAAGATCATAATCTGGCCTTCAGTGCTTCTGTGGTGGTCAGGGAGCAGCAGATCATGTCAAGCTAAAAAAGGAAACACAAATGAAGGTTAGCCAAAAATACTTTGGGGGCTCCAGCATGGCTGTCTTATTTTCATCTCTGTTATCTAAAAAACCAGGCAAGATGCAACAGAGAATTCAAAACCTGTCACACTAACTGGACTGCATTGTGAAGGTCACTAACTGGATGCATGTAGAAATATCAGCTATACAGCGATGTCAGTACTGAATTCTCACAATGGTCAGGAGATTAGACATGCCACATAAAGGCAAAGAGTCCAGCAGATCAGTTTCACAGACCGTGACAAGCAGGTGAAAGTACTGAGACAACTGAAGAAAATGAACTACCATTTGTGATTAATCACAGGAAAGTTATAATAAGCAAAATGAGAATCCAGGCAGTCACCGACCTTGAGGCATTTACTGGATTTGCGAGAAAACAAGTGTCAAACCTACCTGTCAATCAAAGAATCTCTCATAGTAGTAGCAATGGTACTTGGCTGTGATTCATTGAGTTTAAAGACACTCTCAATAACAGATAACTCTGTGCTGGTTGTGTCCAGGCCACAGAAGGCACACCAGTCATTCACAACCATTCCAGCTGCAATCACCTCACTGCCACGGTTAACAGTTCCAGCCTGGTAAAAAGAGAGAGACATTCATGACAGTACCTCTGGCTAAGAGATTTTTTTTTTGTCATGCTCATCTATAATGGCAATACCCAATGCACTAACATCAGAGTTATTACCTCCCACCACCTAGGATTGGATCTATTATAAGCCCGAAGTAAAGTATATGTAACTGATAATTTAGTTTGGAACCAGTAGCCTTGAATACTTTTTAGTGGAAAGGCAGGATAGAAAAATTCTAAGTAAAATATTTGAAAAGGCAATAGAAGCCAAGCCCTCCAGAACCAGGAAGGCATATGTAAGTTAGCTCTTTATCATCATTTCAAAAGTAATATAGCCCAGCATTTAGAAATGTCAGAAAAGCCAGGACCCAATTCTCTAGCCCACAATTCTCATTGAGTGGCCTTGGGGAATCCACTGGGTCTTTGCAAATAATTTACAGCACAAGTGCTCATCTACTGTGTGGAATTTAAACACAGGGTGTGTTTGTTTTGGGATTCTGCATTTCTGCACCCCACTCCACGTAGGCTCCAACTACACATAACATAGATTTCTGCATGTTATTCTCCACTTGTTTCAATCCTTTAAGACTGGAACCAGCTCCACCTATGCAGAAAATAGGTGGCTTAACTCCTTACAGCTTAAACCCACACTATGTGAGCTGGTCCCCCCCCCCCCCAGTTTTGGGGACAAATATACCGGTACATGTAAGATATGGAAACTTCATATCACAACCCCATCCCCTGACTCCCATGGTTGAGAAAGCAACTTGCTAAGAAGGGACCAGAGAGAATAGAGTTAATCTCATTTTCCTCACACCCACTTTTGCTCAGAAACGGGCTGCCCTGGCTGCTAATTAATATGTAGAAATAATCATCAATATATGTGATTAACATAACTGTTAATGTACACATCACTTTTCAGTGTTAGCTATAGTAACTGATAGGATTCTCTTTACAGTGTGTGGATTCTAAAAGGCAGACAATTTGGGTAAGTGAAGAGTTGAATCAAAAGAAGATTGGCACTCCAAAGTTCTCTTTACAGAATTCCAGGAGAAGCAGCATCAAAAGCTTTTATCCCTTTTAAGTCAGTTTCTTAAGAGGGGTACTTGTCAAATAGCTCTAGACTGATCCTTTTGAAACCAATTATAATCACTAACACTGTATGTAGCCAATGTAACAATGGCACTCTGACATTTTTCATTTAATCAATGTTATTCCCAAAGCACATTTCAAACCCCTCTCCCCAAGACACTCTAAAACACTCAGTCTTGGATGTCTTTCAAGTCATTAAGCATTTCTTCTTAATGTAAACATTCACTCAAATTCTTCACTGCTCTTCATATTCTTCTCCCCACCCCACCCTACCCATTCTCCTAATATACACATTTTTCTGTTTTGCGAAAAGAGAGTAATCTTGTGCTTTTATACATTGCCTAGGGTCATACTAAGAAATAGTTTAATTTAGGAATGGTTAGAACTGGCGTTAGAAAGTGATTTCGTGTTTTGAATTGGCCAGGGTGTGGCTATGGTAACTCAGTCATAAATACAGAGGGTATGGTCTCTGATCTCAGTCTTCTGAGACCACTAGGTGTGGGGGGCAGCAGCAGACAACTGAAACTCAGCCTGTTAGCTTCTTCACAGTGTAATAAAACTGGGCACTCAAAAAAATATTCAGCAGAAAGAGTAGTTACCACAAGTGGGACTTGTAGCAATGAGGAGAGCTCATCCTGGTCTTCAATGGAAGTCTTGGGGTGCACAAGTCCTCCCTGGTTGCTGAAAGCACAATAACTTCCCACCAACACTTGTTCTGCTACCGTCTGCCTAAATACTTCCACTTTTAGTACGTCTGCTAAAATCTCTTCTGTCTCCTGTAAAAAAAATATGAAATGTTTAAAACCAGCACTGTGAACACATTAAACCTTTCCTAATTAATTAAAAGCAAATGCCAAATCAATTTATCTCATTAAGAAAAGTACACATGATCGCAATATTAATATAAAGGCCTTTTTGAGAACTAAACTCCCAGTTTAATAAACAAAAACCACCACTCATGTTTAGAAGAGCCTGTGTTTAGATACTGGCCATGGAAGGGCTGTTGCTCTGTGCCAGTGCACCACCAGAGACATGCGGAAGGTCTCAGGTTCAATTCAGGGCTGAAGAAGACTCCTGCCTTCAACCATGGACAGCCACTGCCAGTCACTGTAGACAGTACTGACTTCTGTTAACCAATGAAATAAAACAGCTTCCTAGGTTGCTAGGTGATTTCAACTGAGCATGATCAGTTTCCATTGCCTCTGACCATAGAATCTCAAGTCAGTAGTGATCAATAGCACACAGCATGTAGTTCTTACTGCTAGAAGGAAAGCCATATTAAAAGCATTTACTACAACTAGAATGGAATTAGCATGCTGCTGCCACCAATTTTTGTGTTTTTATACTGTAAATCATCCTGTGATCCTCAGTTGAAGGACAGTATAGAAATTTAATAAAATAAAAAATAATTGTTTAAATGATAACTCCTTTCTTCCATTCCACCAACTGCCTCTGTTAACTATGTCTCTGGCATCCTGCCTTCCAGTTGTTGTAAAATGCAGCTGATGGTGTCAAGAGCCTGGAAGAGAGGATGCCAAAGTTCGCAGGCAGCTCAGCTGCTGAACCTTGTGTGGAAGAAGGAGGCTCCTTTATCTACTATCACTACTTAACGTAAGTAGCGGTAGCATGCCAATTGCTGAAAAATTCAGATCAAAATGAACTCATTTACTCTGTCAATGTCTGGATGGACAAGTGCTACATAGTCATTGCACGTAGTGACATTGCCCAAGGCAGAGAGGCGCTCTTCCACCCGCTGAATTCGTACGGAGTCTGGAAGACTGTTTCGGATGTGCTGAAGCTCCTGGTCCGTGGTATTGTTTGGGACTAACAAGCCATGCCGGTTTCCTAAAAGAAAAGGGATGGGGGAGAAAAGAGACACGATTCAAGATTCAGGAGTAACAGGTATTTCATTTTCTTTCTCCCCCAAACCTGGATGCCATAAAGCAATGAATGAAAAAAATCACTGGTTGAGTTCACAGGTCGTAGTAAACAACACCTAACTGTTTACCATGAACACACAGATGGCTTCACTCCTCCCCTAGTGGTAGCCGGAACAAACCATGATCCCTGGGCTTATGTAGGGACTGGGATGTGTGGTTTCTTTTGCTCAAACAATTGGGAAGACAAGAACAACACTGACTTAAGATCATGGTTTGTTTGAAGAAACACAAACAGCCACTACCCAGAAAACAAATCCTGGGATCATGGTTTGAAGCTCCCATTTCCACTAGGGGAGAAGAAAAGTGGGGCCACCTGCATGCTCACAGTAAACTATTAACTGTGTGAACTCTACCACAGAATCACAGAAATGAATCTAACCCAACTTCCTGTGACACCTTTCTTGCTGTTAATGGAGTACAGAAATGCATTCGCGAAGCAAATAACTACAGACACCAAATGCAAGTAAACTAAGCCATATACTCCCGTCCCAATACAGGGTCACCGAATACTCATTCAGATATATAAAATTTTATATAATAAATGCAATATATCTAGCTAACAAACTAGTGCCAGAAGAACTAAATTGTTAATTTACATAACTTAAAACAAGTTTATATTAATTTTTTTTAAATATATCTTGTCTTTCTGCTAGATAACAGGTTTCTAAGGTACAAAAAACATTTTTTAAAAATAGAAAGCAGTGAAAATAGTCTCCACCTTTAATTTTTATTCCTGGACCTGGTGTACCTCCTCTTGGGAATTGGACATTCTGCAGCTGCTAGATATTCCTGGAAACAGTGGTGACTTAAGTCGCAAGAGGACAGTGATATTAGCTATCTGCTTCCCAGCTCTTAGATAACATTATGTAAGAGCGCTTTAACGGTAATAATAACAGTATACTACCATCAGTTCACATTGCTGTTTACTGTTAATATTAATATTGTCTGAAAATTATTTTTCTCTTCTTTTTCCATCCAGCTCAGTGTTGTCTACACTGACCAGTGGCGGCTTTCCAGAGTTTCAGGCAGGGGACATTCCCTGCCCTACCTGAAGATGATGGAGATTGAATCTGGGAAGCAGATGCTGTATCACTGAGCTACAGCATTTATATTTTAAGAAGGATTAAGACAACCCAATTGGAGAATGCAACTTACCCACACACATTCTGCCAATGATTCGACATCCGGCAATTGAAGCATGAACTACAGGGATGGTATCCGAAAGCTCCCCTTCAAAAACACTAAAGCACAGCACAATGAAAATTGTAAAACGGTACCAAATTCAACATGACTACATTGTCAAGGACTCAAATAAAGGAGAAACTTGCACAAGGATAGTCAGTCACATGAGCCTCTTGCAGCAAATACAAATAGCTCTCGCAGCATCTTAACCAGTAACAGATTTATCCTGGCATATGGCTTTATTGTGGCATAAACCAACATGGCATGACATGAGCCTGTTGCTAAACTGGAAAAACAATTTATCAATTGAAGAGGCAAACAGCCTTTGACGAAAACAGAGAAACCAACCAACAATAATGGGTCAGTGACTCTTTTTCAATGCTGGAGATGGAGATGGACTCTGCCCATTAGGGGAAATAGGAAGCCCTGAACATATATTTTTCAGATGTCCTTTTTACGCTGAGATTCATAGAGACACCACTGATCCTTTGCTGAAGAGGTTCACCAATCTTTCAGACAGGTCTAAACTTAATTCTCTCCTCTTGGGCAAAGATCACAAGAAGACCTGGCTGGTAGCCAGATTCTGCTCCCAGATTTGTAGGCACAGATCATCCTCTAGAATAAAATAGCTTACTAGGGAAAAGCTGGTCACCCTTTGGAGCACCTCAGGGTCAATCTTTATGGCAGCCCAAATCTCAGTTGTATGGGTGTGTGTGTGTGTATATATATATATATATATATATATCAATTTTAACTCATGATCGATTGCTGCAATCTGATCTAATTGTATATTTTATCTTTATGAACGCTGTTTCTATTGTGTTATGCGAACTGGTCTTTGACCTTAATAAATTATCTCATCTGACGGGAGGGCGTGCCACTGGGCAGGTGCGACTACTGAGGCCTCCTTGCAATAAGGAAACAGTCAGAAGGACCTCAGTGTCCTTCGGGTATACAGGACGCTGGCCATTTAGGGCTTTGATGGTCATCACCAGTACTTTGACTGGTGCTTGGAAACAGGCCGGGAGAGCCAATAATAGATCTTTTAGGACTGGTGTGATGTGGTCCCACAGTCATCAGTGCGGAAGCCGCATTGGGGATTAAGAACAGTTCAAAACCAGCCACTCATAACTTGCCCAGCGCCTTAATGGATTCCCTCATAGTTTTAGCAATATTGGGGGGGGGGGCAGGGAAAGAAGCCCGGCTGCCGAGCGGCAGCTTCCTTTTCACGGGCCAGGCCTGGCTCCTGGTTTCAGGGTCCGAGTTCGAAGGGCAGGAGAAAAGAGTGATAGAAATAGCCTGGAGAGACTCGAGGCGCGACCAGGCTGAGAGGAAGGCCTCTTTTTTTTGGGGGGGGGGTTACCTGTAGAAGCCCTCTGAGCCCCCGATGGCCACCAGGCAGTAGGCGTTCGTGAGCTTGGCGAAACAGCCGATCTCGTTGTTATTCTCGAAGCTGGCCCGCACCGCCATTGCTGTCAAGGAGCCCCCGAGCAGAAAGCAGAGAGAGAGAGGGGGAAACCGCCCAACGTCGCCCTTCGTCCGTTGCCTTAGACACGCGGACAGGCCGCAAGCCCCGTCGCCCGGAAACGCGCCGCGACGTCACTTCCGCTTCTTCACAGTCTCGCGGCGGCCGTCGCGCACAGACGCAGAAGCACGTCGTGCGTACGGAGGCCGCATCCCGGGGGGCACTTTGGAGTTTGGGTTCCTCGCCTCCTCAGTAACTCGAAGAGAACAGCGGAGAAATCTTGGGTTCCCCCCGTGTTTGTGACTGGGCATTAACGTGTCCCACATCCCCAGTAAAAAAGGAAAAGAAAAGAAAAGTTCCAAGTTTTAATTGTGGAAAAAACACTGCAGTATGCAAATGAGCGCTGGATTCGGGCGTCGAGAGGGCGCGAGGGGGGAAATGTAAGGAGGCTGGTCTTCGTTGCAATTTGAAGGGAACTTCCTGTGAGGGATTTTTTTTGTTGGGCATCCCCATCAGTCTGTCCTCTAACCCGCAATAATAGTAATGGCTGTTAGCCGCTCTTTCAACCCCTACAACCTGCAGTTGTGGAAATAATGGACTTCGTTTGTACTGGTAGAGATTGTTCCTTTAAACGTTTACAAGCCCCAAAATAGTTTTTACCACATGAAGTAAGATCTAGGTTTGAAAGAGCAGACACTTCCTGTTGCTATATATTTTATTTTTCGGTGCTGTTGACCAATCGCAATTATGCTAAAATCCTTTCTACTCCCATCGATTTCTATAGCAGCTCCCATCTCCACCCCAGAGGAGAGGCTGCAGTTCAAACCTGGAAATTCCCCAATCCAGATGAGTCACTTTTCAGTATCACTGATTGCCACCTGCCTCCAGGTTGCCAGAGGCCATGACCCTTTCCCAGCGCCACTTGGTGCTGAAAAGGCTTTCTCTCAGTTTTGGGTAATGGAAAGAAGCAAGGCTTTTTTTCAGTCAGAACTTGCCGGAACTCAGTTCCGGCACATCTCAGGTGGGTGTCATTGCCATTATTAGAGAGCGAAGGAGGTGTTCCTGGTGAGTTCTGGCACCTCTTTCTCTAGAAAAATAGCACTGGAAAGTAGGACATTAAGCATCACATTGTTTGGTCTACGTAGTAGGCAGAAGACCAGAGGTCTGCCTTAAAAGGAGTGGTGAGGGACTTTGTTGTCCCCCAGAGTGGTTGCAACTCAGTGTTCTCCTCTGAGGGGTTGTCCACACTGGAGTTTAATGGGAATTTAAGGTTGCTTATGTCTCTGTTTATTTTGCAATGCCCTCATGATGCCCTCCCCACTCAGCCCCATCTCACACATTCTCACTTGTAGATCCGGGTTTTCCCAATCTGAGAATAAGCCAAAAATTGGGAATGGTGTGTGTGTTGCCAAACCAGTCAGGGCCAAAGGGATTGGGATGGGGCAGTGGCAGTGGTGTTGGACTCAGTAAGACACCCAGTCCCTGTGATCTAGTGGTTCTTGCAGTGGCACAATGCACTAGATGTTAATTCGTTAGCATTATTTCTGATGTCTAAAAGTTGGAACACCTGAGAACTGTAGCACCTTTGCTTCCCCAGAGCCTCCTGCATCTGCTAGCAGCAGCCCAGTAGCAAAGCCTCGACTTCAAAGGGAGAAACATCTGGCTGCTTCAGCATCTGTTTTCAAGCCAGAAGATTAAGCAGCAGAGAAGTTACTGGTATCATGGGCCAGGAGTCAGCTTTGCCTGCTGAACAGCCTGAAAGGGGAGAAGGTAGAGTGACTCCACTTGCAGCTGATCAGCTTTCAAGGACACAAAGGAGAAGGCACTGATGAGAAACAGCTGGCTTCAGCCTTCTTAAGCAGAGCATCCAGCTGCAGTCAGTAGTGCCTGGCCCTACTTTGCTGCTTCTGTTCACCTTGATCCTTGATCATTGGATTTCCTGGCCCCTGGACCATTTGACCACATGGATTGCTGTTTACCTGACCCTAGGACTGGACCTGACTTTGGACGATGACCCTGCCTACAGGCAAGTAAACCCTTGAGACTCTTCTGGTTCACTGGTCTCCCATTCCATTGAGCTCTGTATGTTGTTGTTCAGTATGAGACTGTGACAGTTGGAACATTTGAAAACTGTAAGGAAACATATCCCATACAGAAACCTTTATCTTACTCTAGTAACGGCCCAGTTTGCGCATCACTTTAAGCATTATTTAAATTATCATTTAAAGATGAATGGCTGTTCCACTCCTCTGCTGTTGCACCCTCCCAAAAATCGCTCCCATCAAGCCCAGAAAACTTTGCTGAACTAGTGCAGGTCTCAAGCAACACATCCAGTCTTGATTTTGAGAAATAACAGGCATCGGTGGTGACAGCCTGCTTCTCTCTACTAAGTAAGGGTTCAAGTTGTTGTTGTTTAGTCGTGCCCGACTCTTCGTGACCCCATGGACCAGAGTGGGCCAGGCACTCCTGTCTTCCACTGCCTCCTGCAGTTTGGTCAAACTCAAGTTCGTAGCTTCAAGAACACTGTCCAAGTTAGTCAAAGCTAAATGTGTGTCACTGATTTCAAATAGGAAAGCATGCAATTAATCCTCCCACTGAAATCAGTGGAACTTCCAAGTGCGTAACTTTGGACTGTGACCTAATTCTGTTCCATTGGCTCAGGTGGAATGAGGTATTCTAGGATTGTGTAAACCCTTTATTAAAATCTGGTTGACCACCTATTTGGGATAAATACAACATGTGTTCATGCAATTAAACACACACACACACACACACACACACACACAGCACAGTCTCAAGGAATTCAGAATTCAGGTTGTATAGGCTGCTGTTCAGGACATTTCCAGGCATCTGCATCACCCTTTGGAAAGGCTTCTTGTATATGTGACACCAGTGCTCAGTACTCAGAGGCCCAACTTGTGCAACACAAAAGTGTTTATTAAACACAAAGAGTCAATAATTATAGCCCTTCCCATGCTATCTTTCATCACAGGGTTCACAGGCTATTTTTAAGAGATACAATCAAAGCAAACCAATGTATTCTCGGTGTTTTCTTCCTGCAAGAGCACATTTATTTATTTATTTTTACAGTAGCGAAACCTATGACCGATAAGGCACTGGGATTTATACAGTAGCTTTGCATAATTTCATATGACTAATCCCCCTACCACTAAGCATTTTTCATATTATCTGCTGCTTCCTCCATTAGAATATGCTTTATGCAGGGCTGGTCCAAAACATTTTGGCACTTGAGTCAAACCTCAAAACGGCGCCTCCTTGCTACCATGGAAGAATGGCTGAGTGAAGATCTACATTGGGAACAAGGGGGGAATAAAGACCTATATCGGGAAACGAGTGGGAGGAGACCAGGAGCACCTTCTATTCACCAAGAGGGTGCTGCAGAGGTGGCAGTTCCAGGCCTCCACAGAGTGCACTGTAGCTGTTGCTGCTACTGTGGCGGCAGCAGCGGACAATGCATTAATTGGAGGCCAGATATTCTGCCCCTGTGGATCCTGCTGCCTGAGGCAGCTGCCTCACTTTGCCTCATGCGTGGGTCAGCCCTGACTCTGACATTTCTGGGGGAGAAGGAAAGAGAAGTGGGCAAGTAACAACTGGGAGTAGGTGGGAGCATAGCTTTTACTTTGGCTTCTGCTGATCTTTACAACTTTTACCTCTGTGAACTCTTCCCCTTGATAGCAATGATTTCTTGCAGCTCTGACTAGAGAGTGCTTCTGGTTCCACTAACAAGCTGCACTGAAGTCTCTCTACCAGCATTTTAAAGTGGGTGGTTTGTGTGCCTCATGTTACTTTTTATGGATTGATTACATATTTATCCTGTTTTCCTCCACTGAGCTTGGGATGACATACAGGTCCACTCCCTCATTTACCCTTACAACAAGCCTACATTTTGCTGAGAGATAGCAGTTGGTTCAAGATCCCCAATGAACCTCACCAAACAGACTTCCTAGTCATGATTCAATACTCTTAACTTCTACAAATGAGAGATTTAGTCAAACCCCACCCATTATTTCAGGAGTCACTACTTATGCAATGGTGCAGAAGTACTAGATTAACCATTTTTCCAGCTTTCAGAATATGCCATCCTTTATATTACGGTAATTCTAGCACCCTACAATTGATATTCATCCTATAGCTGTCACATAGCTATGGGTTTATATTTCTGGACTCCTTTTTAAGACTATTCAGGTTTTTTGTTTTTTAAAATTAAGTCTGATACACCCAACTATGAATGGGAGATTTGGGACTTCCATATTTTTGTATTATTACAGATATAATTAACCATTTGAATCAGGTCATATGTTTTTGCTAAAATGATAATACAAAATTACATCTCAAATCGACTGTGAACTAGCTTTGGTTTTGACTTGTTATAGTTGGTAATGAGATCCAATTTACTGTGACCAAGAGTCATTCTTTTTTCATCCCTGTGTATTTTGCTGCTGTTTTTCGTCGGCACATCATCAGAGGAGCAATAGGAACTAGAATCCGTGGTCTTCGGCTCAAAATGTACTGATTTAGTAGGCTTGTTACTGAGATCTAGTTTGCTATAGCCATGAGTTGCTGGTTTTTCATCCTTCTGTCTTTTGTTTACATCTTCCATAGCTTGAACAGTATATGGGAACTTTTTGTTGACTTTCATTCCTATACTCTCAGGCAGACGCTTCACATCGTGCCCATTTCTTGTGTTGTTGCTTAGTATTGGTGAAGATGTTGACAGCAAAGATGTCTTAAGTCTTAGTAGATTAGGTGCATCATTTAATTTAGCTGATGCACTGCAGCTAGAGTCCAGCAGCTCCCTGGGCTGGTATTTCAAGTCATTAAGTCCCAGGAAGCCTGAAACATTCATTCTTGTTTCACCAGGAGCCCATTCTTTAATTTCACAGTGTGCATTAGAAGTTGTCAGGTCTAGATATGGTGATCTCCTTATGCTTACTACGCTTGAATTTGAGAGGCTAGTTGAGGGGCTTGTGGTCTCGCTCTCATTCATTTGAATACGCTTAGAAACTGGCTCAAGTTTCTGCAACAATCTGTGGGGAGAGGTTGTGGAATTTTCAGCTTTGGGGATGCTGAGTTTGTTCACAGATCTAGACTCGGCATATATGCATCGGAACTCTCTGTCAAAGTCCTCAACAATTTTTCCTTTGAAGTGTGTCACCAGGCCAGTGTGGACTTGACTGCACAGCCACGTAAAACTGAAAAGGAAAGGATTCAGAGACCCTGTGAATCATCAACATACGAAATAACTCTGATTTCAAATAGTTATCTATTTGGATACTATGGAAATGCATTGGACAGGATAGTTAGCTGAACACATCAGTCTTATTTCACTGCATGAAAATAATGGGTGGAGCAGTTTGAGGAGCAGTGATTCAGGATGAGTTCACAAGCATTAGGTTTGTTGGGCAATAATTGAAGCTATTACCTGAATATGCCAAGCTATTATACTTCATGGTTGTTATAAGATCCTAGTAACAGATATGGGGGAAAAGCTGGTAGGTTTGTTTGTTGTCATATATTCAGTACGTCAGAGAAAAAGACCTTGCGGGCCATTCCATCCACACCAGTATTCCCTAGATTTGCCTTTGATTTGCTCCCCAATCTACAGTGTAAGGAAATATCATTGGCCCTACCACTTGGCAACTCCAGGTGGTGCTGTGTTGGCAGCACATGTTACAGAGGTGACTGCTCAGAAATAGAAATTGAAGCAAAAATGGGGTGTTTGCTGCAGAATGTGAATAATCCTTTACAAGGGTTTAGCCCTGGCATTTATTTTCAATATTAAGGACCAGCTCTGGGATATGAAAAAGTAATGGGTGTTCCTGAACATGTGTAAAGCACTTTCTGCTCAAGATGAGTTACTGGAGCTAATCTCCATATATATTGGTTTAAAATTTAGTTTAGAGGACAAGGTGTCTAGGGGGGGCTTGACCTCCATCTTCCTCCAAGAGGTTTGCTCCAGGTCTGTGTGCCATTGGGGTTATAGTGGAAATCATCAGCTTACGATATGACATTATTACAATGGCAGCACCCTGTCAGAGAAGCTCACTCTGATTATCTTTCAGATTCTGAGCTTGGGACTCTTGAGTTTTTTGGTTCACTGTTCCCGTTGGTTGTTTCCTGCTGCTGAATCGAATTAGTTATCAGTGTTCTGCTATGATTTACAGTTTACAGTATTTTATCATGTTCTTATTTTTGATCTTATGTACTGTTGTGGTATGCATTTTTAATTTTTTTGTTAGCCACTTTCCAGAACTTTTTATATTGAAAGGTCTAAAAATATTGAAACAAATACAGAAACCGTTTCTTTTAGAGATTTCCCACTGGCCTGGCATTGTGGGCAAACAAGGGAAGGACAACATGCGAATAATCCCACCAGTATTGTTGGGGTGAGGGGCTAGTGCAGGGGTCAGCAAACTGTTTCAGCAGGGGGCCGGTCCACTGTCCCTCAGGCCTTGTGGTGCGGGGACTGGACTACTTTTTTTTGGGGGGGTGGATGAACAAATTCCTATGCCCCACAAATAACGCAGCGATGTGTTTTAAATAAAAGCACACATTCTACTCATGTAAAAACACGCTGATTCCTGGACCGGATTTAGAAGACGGTTGGGCCGGATCCGGCCCCCAGGCCTTAGTTTGCCTACCCATGGGGTAGTGGATCCAGGACCTGATGCGAGACAGGAATAGATTAGTAGCATCAGTTGCTCACTCTTCTAACTGGGGATCATTGAAATGCAAAGAGGAGGGTTAGTGAACCAAGAGCCCCAAAAGAGCGGCATTGGAGGGTGGAGCTTCTGGACCCTTAATAATGATGTAGAAGAAGGGATTTCAGGAGTTGTAGGTTTTCATCTCTGGATGACAAGCTGCAATTGCTAAAACATCCTCTTTACACAAATATTAAAGGTACAGGAGACTTGTCCCGTTTTGTCTGGTTTATTTGAAATGTGGAAATGGGTAAATGGATTCTGAGTAGAATAGTTGAAGTGCAACTAATCCCAGCAACTCAGGAATCCAGTGGGTGGGGTTTTAATACTGCATCAGTGGTGTCTTGTGCTGGTGCAATAAGTTACCCTGTTCCTAAATGCCCTTGACAATTAACAAGTCTGACTGCCAAGTTATTATAAACTTCCACACCCAAGTATCCCTTCCTATTAAAAGCCATTAAGAAAAAAAATGCCATTTTGGAATGCATGCATTGTAGTTCTTTGAGATGGCTTCATGATATGGGAACATTCCACTGGGTTCCCAGGCTTCCTGTAAGTTAAAATGAGAGGGCAAGGGAAAGGCAGCTATTAAAGTGTTGATGAATCTGTCTGGGTGGAAAGGAGTGAGTTGTATCAGTCAAGGAAGTCCTCTTGGCTGCAGTTAAAACAAGACAGGGCTGTTTCCTCCTGAAGGCAAAGCCAAGGGATTGGCATGTGTGGCAGGGTAATTGAGGCATGCAGATAAAAAGGAAGCTGCACTTACTGATGATGAAATACAGATGCTACATCATCAGCAAGGAAAGGGACAAGATCAATGAGTGGACAGTCAACTTGTGGACAGTCTCTTTTATATAAATGTTTGTGTCAGTGTCATATTATCTCTATTTACTTGGAAGAAGATTAGGGAGATCCATGTTCAACCACAATGTCTGGGTCAGTCATACTCTCAACACAATCTGTTTCCATGGAAGAACTGCCCTGCAAAATTCTGAGAAGTGTGAATTTCAAAGGATTGGCTGTGTTTTGGTTCTTATATACCCCACTGCCAAATTGCATGAACGAAGTAGCAAGCATATCAATCCTATTCACAGGGACTAAAATAGCACAGGTCCTAAAGAAAGAGGTGGCCATATCTTACATGCATTGTACATGATATCTCACCTGTAGGTCCCTGCAAGGACTTCTTCGCCATCTATCAACACAAATTTCTCAAGTGCTTGTCCTGTAAGCTTCTTGCCAGCTTTGCTGTAGTATGTGTCTCCACTCACACAGCGTATGCGCATATTCTGAAATGGGAACAAGGCACAGTAGAGATCAAAGGGAGCAAAGACAAATGTCCCGTCTTTTCTGTGCTGAACTTAAATATGTATGCAGTGTGTATAAATTAATATGAAACTTGGAATTTGCCATTGCAATATATATATCTACATCAACAGTGTGTTTGGATTTAAGGGAATGTTTCTTTAAAAAATCCCATGTACATGTTTCCTTACCCCATTAAGATTAACAGCACAATTATATACAGTAAATGTCAACTTGGAAGTAGGGCACAGTGAGTTCATTGGGGCTTAATCCCAGGTGAGGATGCATAGTTGCAGTTTAAATATATATCTCAAAATATAATAACTGCTGCAGATATGAAAGACCAGGAGCTGTTTTGCCTCATGTTTTGAGGCAAAATACTCTAAAATTATAAAATACTGGAAACTGGTTGTGGGGCCTCTATCATTTGACTCCTTTCAAATCCTATTTAGATATTTGAAAGCTATAGTAGCTGTAGACATAACTCTTTATCAATAAATGTGCAATATGTTCGAACAGCCAGAATTGCAGTCACCCAAAAGTGGCAGAAAAGAAAAATTTCTGATACAGAATGGTTATTAAGAGTGTGGGATCAGGCTCATATTGACAAATATAATATAGATTAAATAATGTAGACAAGCAGGCTATTTGATTATTAGAAAATGGAAATAGAATTCTGTTGAACTGGATGAACTTGGTCTGATCCACCAAGGCAGAACTTATATTTTAATTCCTGAAGAAAGTGCTTTGAAGAAGAACATAGTTTGAGAAGACAAAGGGCACAATTAGGCATGACACCAGCAGGCCCGTAGTTTAAATCCATGTTTGCCCCAATTGTATTTAAAATATTTTAAATTCTATTGCTCCCTCAGGCAGTTTTATTTTCAGTTGAGTTACCATACCAGAAATGAGCATAGATGGAAGAAAAGGGATGTGTGTGTGTGATTCACTCTCTGGCCCCATGTGCTTCAAGCATGAGCTTTCATTAAACCCATCTTTATATGTGATCAAGGCAGACCTGGGCATATAAACAAATGTTTCTGTTGCCATCCTATCTGGTTTCACCCAAAATGGATGGATGGAAATATTTGGGTGAAGACCTCACAGTGTGTCACTGAGCCTGATGCATGGTATGTGCCTTTGTGACTTAGCCCTAATAATTGTCACTGTCTCTGCTCTTGGGGTGTTCAGCTGCTCCTGAGTGGTAGAAATGAGACGTGAAGCCTCCTCTGCCAATGCACAACCTCTGCTTTAAAGGCTGCACTTGTCCTGTTTGCTTTTCTGTCTGTCATCCAGCTGAACAAACATTCAGCAACACATTGTACTTCTTCACCTACATTGTAAGGAGGCAGGGATCAAAATTCAATTTTCTTTTTTAAATGACGGTATAGCAAAACTGCAAACTGATATTGGTGTTATACAAATTTAACTGTTATGTCTTTCGAAAAAAAGCCTGGGGTTTAGGTCTGGTGAGGATGCTAAGAATTGTTAGAGGTCTCTAGCCCCCACCCCCTCTCACAGCACTGCAATGACAGGCATATAACTGTCCTCCCCCTTTAATGTCCATATATTTTCTCACAGGTTGTATTAACTTAGTAGTACTATACTAGCAAAACTAACTAGAAACGTACTGGGAAGTCATCCATAGTAAGATCCATTTTATTGCACATTTCTGCAAAGTGCCTCAAGTTCTTTTCATCAAGGATCAGGTAAACCGGAACACGCCGTCTGCTTGATGCCTCCATCAGGTCACTGAGGATCTCCATGTCTGTGAAGAGATCCATCATAATCGCAATCACCTGCACAGATGGGGGTGAAAGTGATAGGAGACATGTTAAAAAATACCAGCAGTAGATCTGTACTATTAAAAATTATTTTCAAAACATAGCAACGAGTTCCAGTATCTCTATAAGTGATTTAGTTTGCTTTGGGAAAATGGAAGAGCAAGAGTACTTTGCAGATAAAGAGTACTTTGGCACAGAGATTCTTCTGGCCCTCTATCCTAGGCTGCTCCCACACTAGCTCTTTTGTATGGAATATCGGTCCTTTGGTAACTCACTTTTTATGGAGAGTCTATGCAATATCGCTGACAAATAGGTACATCTTAGTGTTCTCTTTGCTGTTCACTCATGGTGGTTTTTCCCCCTTCTAGATTTGACTTAGCAGTGTTGTTGTTTGCAATAAATACCATTGCAGCACCAGTCTTTCAGATAATCCTGGGATTTATGTATTAGCCGAACAGTGAGCATTAGAAAGCATTTTGACTAAGTGTAATTTCCAGACACACTTCAAGGGAAGCCCCATGTAGAACACATTGTGGTGATATGACTGAGGCATGTGTCACTGTGGCTAGATCTGCCTTCTCAGCTTGATCAAAGGCACTCCTAGTCACAGCAGCTGCCTGGATAGCCAGGTATAATGCTAGGCCAGGAGCTACAAGCCTGGTGCTTCAGGTAGAGGTCATCCCCATCACAACAGGTCATATTTCTGTTCCCAGATCACCTTATCTACTAACCAGCGTTACTGCTATCTTGGCTGCATTAGAATCACAGAATAAGAATTGTAGAGTTGGAAGCCACACCCAGGAATTTCCATGTTTGGCACAGTTTAATCAAACCTTGATTCTAACTTTTATTTATTATAAGAATTATGGCTGCCTTGCACCCACAAAACTCTGGTACCCCAACACATAGCAGTATACAATGCAGCCACATAGCAGCCACATTAAGCAATTGTTTCTCTACAGTTTTCAGTGCATTTCCTCAACACTCCTTATAGCAGAAAGTTCAGGGCTTGTTTGTTTTGCAAGCGGGTTTGGTGTGCAATCTGAATTTGTCAGTATGCAATTGAATCCCGCCCACAAAATGGTGGCAATCTGGAAATGCCCCAAGGCTTGCATGTGGAGGGAGTTTCATAACTCAGTTTGGCAGGCCAGGACCTGAAGGGAATCCTGTACTTTGAAGTTCTTCTCATATCAAATAGATGGATTAATCTAAAGTATTTGTATGCTGCCTTTCATGCAAATATATCCCAGACTGGTTCCTAATAGTAAATTACAATAAAATGCAATTACTTAATGAAATACCAGGGTGGGGGTGGAGCCAACAACAGCTCCATAAATAAAAACCACCCCACAAATTAACCACAACTTTAAAATAAATTCAGGGAGGATAATGGAAGTCTCAATTACAGTGTTTCAAATATAACATCTTTTACCATAAGAGCGAAACCATCCATTTTATATACAGTGCCTGAGGGAATTAAAAATGCCTTAACCTGGCAACAGTATACTTTACATATGAAGTATTTCTGTTTCACCATGAGTATTAAATATTAAGTTAATAGAGTTAAATATTAGGAGATTGACCATAGCTCAATGATAGCGTGCACACAGGAGTTACAGCAGTGAAGGAGGAGTATGAGCTGAAAAGGCCCATTGTCTAATTCCCTTGTTATATTTGCTTTTGGCTACTGCATGTTGTTTAAGTATCATAGAATCTTAGAATTGTAGAGTTGGAAGGGACCCCTAGGATCATCTAGTCTAGTCCAACCCCCTGTAATGCAGCTGTCCCATATGGGGATCAAACCTGCAGCCTTGATGTTATCAGCACCATTTTCTAACCAGCTGAGCTAGCTAGAGCACAAGTGATCTTCACATATTTTTTGCATTTAGTTATATTTACAGTTTTGGAATGTGTTTCTTTGTATGGTATTGTTTCTCTATGTTATTTTGAAATTGTTTTTGTAGTGTTTGAAATGCCTTCCCATTCCTTTGTTGTAAGTGCTTTGAGCATGTTTTTGTGTATGGAAAAATGGCATACAAATAAAATGAATGTGTGGCTTAGAACAAGTGATATGTGGATTATATATGCATGCGTGTGCACATGTGCATACATGCATTTGTAATCATGGGTTTGTAAGCGACCCTCGGAACTGTCCTGTCTCAGCTGCTTCAAATGCAAAAGTGTACAACACATGCACAGTCTTAATCTGTGATATGCAAAGCTGCTATAAGAATTGAATAGAAATATTAATTTCTCAAGGTGTGTCTTTCCCACCACAATGATAGTGACATTTCCTCTCTTCTATTCAGTTCTTTAGCATCCATAGATCTGGCACCCCTGCCAACTAATGAGCTTAATTTCAGTGTCACACTCTTATTTCTGTAGGGGTTTTGTAATGACACCAATATTACAACATTCCAGTAAGCAGCTGAATTAACTGATCTCAACCATAAATGTCGATTAGCACTAAGTATTTGTACAAACTGGGAGTGCACTTAATCCTGCCACCCGTCATGTGTCTTTGCCACCTCTTCCTCAGGCAATACAGTCACACAGCTCTTGTCGGTTCTTATTATTGTTGGCATCTGCCTGTCTCGGGAGACAATGGAGGAGTGCGCCTTTGGGGGTGAAGCCAAACCGCACTGGAGACTTACAGCGCCTGCTGTGACTGTATGGATTGTTATATTCCTCCAGAGAATCATGGGAGTTGTGATTTGTTTAGCGCCTCCTCACAACTCTCAGTGTCTTTAACAAACTACAGTTTTAGGATTCTTTGGGGGAAACCATGACTGTTAAAGTGGTAGTGTTTGGCGTGAATGTCATAGACGATTAAAGGGAAATTAATTCTATTCAAATGAATAACAGATCTACATGTAAATATATTTAGGAAACAAATCTATTCACAGATGTGTTGCAAGCTCTGTTAAGTACTTTCAGCAGTCACCAGAGCAAGGTCTGTAGACATCTTGACATAGCACACACATGCACAAACACTTTGGAATTACTCCTTTGAGAGAATAAACATCAAACATTTTACACAGAAGAGAAAAAACTACTATGGAGGCAAGTTTTGAGGAGATATCCTAGAAAAGGAACTAGCAGGAACCTGGCATCCTATTCATGGTTCTTTCCTAGAAAAGCCACATGGACTGTGGTATAACATTTTCCACATACATTTCTTGACTGACTCATCCCAAAGAACTCTCCTGTCTTGAGATTCTGCTGGGCTACAGTTTAGGGATGGCCAAGAGGAGACTGCAGAGCAAGGTATGGTCCGGGAAGCCATTTTATTTGGTCCTTGGAGACCACACCAAATTTAATGATTGTATGATAACCATTTTCTCTACCGTTTCATGCTTTAGGGAAAACATTTTCAGAAGCTGGGAGAGATTATTTACAGTTTAATGTTGCTTCTGTTTTTGAGTTTTGCACGTAATACCTGGGCCATGCATACACCCATCTGCTCCACGATGGTGAAGTTCTCACTCCTAGGTTGCAAGGATGACTTTATACTAAAGAATAATATAAGTGAATCTAATAATTTCTAAAGGTGTGCAGCAAAATATTATTCTTCCCCCAGAATTCTTATAATGGTGTTGAAAATATAGATTGGCCACTTCTGCAGTAGTTAAATATGACATACTTTCCACTACAATACTGAGCAATCGAGCGTCAAAGCCTGTCATGTAACCCTTCAGATAAAAAACTCATACAAGGCTAAAATACTAACACACAAACACACACGGAGTTGACATAATACATAAATAATTGTATCCAATGCTGTCCAAATCAAAACCAAAGTCCCAACTATCTGGAGTAGAGGTGCTGTGTGGGAGGCTGCCGGGCACATGAAAGGAGGGAGAAGTTCATATGTGGAAGTTGAAATTTGCTGCGTGAGCAGAGCAGTGGTGTTGGCTATATCCAAAAATTTTAAGTAGGATATCATAAAAATGGGAGCAAACTACCAGGACTGGCCAAAGACAGTTTTCTGCCAGAGATGAAGGACAAAAGGGCACCCCACTCTTACTCCACATGCAGAAGGCAGCTGCATTTTACTACAATATTAGGAACAGGATGGTGTCCACCACCACACCTGGGACAAACTGTAGGGCACATTCAGCTTTGTTTGCCAACAGAAAAGTACAGAAATGGGGCTCAGGGGGAACAGGAGGGGGAACTGCTCACTTGAGGCAGTCAGCTTACTCTTCCTAATGGTAGGACTAGCCTTGCAAACATATAAGTACAGTGGTACCTCAGGTTACATACGCTTCAGGTTACAGACTCCGCTAACCCAGAAATAGTACCTCGAGTTAAGAACTTTGCTTCAGGATGAGAACAGAAATCGTGCTCCGGTGGCACGGCAGCAGCAGGAGGCCCCATTAGCTAAAGTGGTGCTTCAGGTTAAGAACAGTTTCAGGTTAAGAATGGACCTCTGGAACGAATTAAGTACTTAACCCGAGGTACCACTGTAATTCCAGTGCAACACCAGAACCCCAATGATCAGCCCCATCTTCCCCTTTTGGATTATATATCAAATGCTCTACTTACTGTCTTGGCCTTGCCTATCAGAGACCGAAGTAATTCCTTTACATTGTGTGTCTTGTCCCTTTGGAAATACAAAGTGACTTCTGTTTGGCCACATGATGAGACTGTGGGAACCTCTGGCCAACCGAGCTCCAGATCTGGGGGATCAATGTCTGACATAAATGGGAAGTATGTCCCAGATGTGACTCCAGAGAGGAGGGAAGCCCCGTCACCACTGTCTTCTCTTGTCAGCCCTGCCTCTCGTCTTTTAATCGGAGACCCCGTGATGCTTTGACTATGTTGGCTCATGTAATCCATATCTAACGTGGAAAGAAATGGCAGCTCCTTTTCCTTAGTAATGGCTTGCCGGTAGCCACCTTCTCCCTGTTCCAGAAAGGCGTCCACAGCCAGCCTGGCCGTCTCGCTATGCTGTAGGATTGAAGGGGTGATTTCCACCCTCCAGGGCTTTTTCAGATCATCCAGACGGCTTTTCAGTTGCCCTGTGGTCCCTTGGGAACTCCCATAGCCCCTGTGGAGCCAGCTCATTGCCTCTGCTGTTGGGTAGCCAAACATGATAATACTCAGAGTTGCCCCTCTTGAGGAAAAGTCTGTTGCTTTTTCAGTCAGGAGTCCTCCTGTTTGCTGTTTCTGTTTTTTGCTGGGTTCTTCGACAACGTAGCTCACGATGACTCTCTAGCTCCTGAGGGTCCGTATCCTTTGTCCTCCTCAGCCTCTTCTAAACATCCATTCCTTCCAGGAAGAAGGAAACTTCTCTGGTTGTTCCAATTTGTCTGCTGAAGGAAGAGGTAGTTGCTGGAAATTTTGGTGTCCAGGGCCTGTTTCGATGTTGCCTTCCTCATGGAAATGTCAAGAAGGATTTCCCCATCTTTTCTGCAGTAGCTGCTTTTAGATACGCTTCCTCAAGCAGTGAGACTCAAATAAGTTCCCGCCCTAACTAACCGTGAACAAATTTCTCTGTTGCAGTCAAAACCCTGAAACCTGTTCAGGCAGTTCTCATGCCTCGAGAGGAATGCTGGGACCTGTTCTAAGGTCAGTGTGGATTTATGTGACTATAATAACTATACACAAATGAAAAAAGAATGTAGTAACACTGAGCCAGGCTCGAAATAGGAAGGAAGATGATAGTGCATTCTTTAGTGTACATTAGTATTCTTTTTTTCTTTTGGTGTTAATGGGTGCACACCTGTGCAATAAATTCTGCAAATTGCTGTAATTCAGGGCAGGGCAGTGGTTCTTCAGGGTCTCCAGAGCACATATTTTCTTTGAAGTGCACCGGAAAAGTATTAGGCAAACTTATTTTTTCACAATGTTTTAATAACCATGATTTTTAGATTTAGGACAAGCGTAGTCAGCATTCTGACTATTTCTAGGTTATTTCATCTGAAGCTCTCCTCTGGAACTTATTCTGAGGGAAACTTGGAGGGTGATGTTGAGTGAGGGCCTTTTCGGCTGTGGCTCCTTGTCTCTGGAATGTTCTTCCCAGTGAGGTCTGTCTGGCTCCTTCACTGACATATTTTTGATGTTAGGTAAAGACTTAGCTTTTCCACTAGGCTTTTGACGGTCTGAGTCAATTTTGTTCTGGTGCTAGTGTGCTGCTAAAGCTTCCTGCAGCTGTTACGGGCTGCATGTGTGGTGTTTTTAAAAAAAGGAATTGTAGGTGTTCGCTTGAAAATTAAAAAGTTTGAGATGACGTTTAAATGATATTATGAATTTATGTGTATTTTTAAAAATGTAAGCTTCTTGAATACATTTTAGGTAACAAGCAACTAATATGTCTAAACAATGTTGATAATGTGGTGGTGGTGAGGATGCATAAGTAGCTTCTGCTATCACTTTCAGGGTCAGCGCAAGACATTTTGTTGCCTGAGGCAAAGGTCAAAATGGTGCTGCTCCCCATTCAATGTACAGAAGCTAATTGAACTGGTAACTGAATCTTATTTCTGCACTGGCAATGGGATAGCCACCTGCACTGCATCTGAGGCAGCAGGCCAGTTTAGGGGTCCCAGTGGAGGCCACGAGTCATACCCAGTGGCATCCTCCAGCTAAGAAGAGGGAACATTTGGTGGGCTTAAGAGAAACAGCCAGAGGGCTGCCATTGCTACTCTGCAGCACCTTCTGCCTGAGGCAGTTGCCTCTCTCTGTCTAATGGTAGGGCCAGCCTTGATCAATTTGTATTTGCTCATTGTTACATCATACTGTTCTCATGGGCTAACAGTATTGATATATAAATAGCATACATTATGCATTATATGAAAATGCCCATAAGAGCAAGCATTGCCCCCGAGGATATTCAGTGTTCCTTACTTAGTAACAAACATTTATGTTGTGAACTGCCCTGAGATCTACGGGTACAGGGCGGTATATAAAATTTAATAATAGAAATAGAAATACAAAAAAGGAAGGGCAGAATATATACTGTGAAGTTGCATTGGTTTCAGTGAGAGAGTTGAATGTATGCTTGTGTATTTCCTATTGAAGTAAATGGAACTTTACTATACTTTTTTTGACTGGATCATTTCCTAAGGATCAGCCATGGCTGAGTTCCATTTGTGTGTGTGTGTGTTGCATCCTTCCCCAGTTTGGTACCCTCCAGATGTTTTGGACTACATCTCCAATCAACCCCAGCCAGTATAGCTAATTGTCAGAGACGATGTGAGTTATAGTTCAAAATATCCAGACAGCACCAAGTTGGAGAAGAAAACCTATTTGAAGTATTTTCTAGTCTTTAATATCCCAGATAGATTTTCTTATTAATAACAACCTAATTTTAAGGTTTGCAAAGCATATTGCCTTTGGATACGAGAGCAGCAATTAATCCTTGCTGCTGACAGTTAGACCTGACATATAACTGCTTAAAACTATTGCATTTTTATCAATGTTTCTGAACTGTGGGTATTACAAAAATATGGTGATGCATGATTGCCAATTGTTACACATGTAGAAATGTTCATTTTTCAACGGTGACGTCTGGAATCAGAGTAACCCAGGTGTACTTTGGCTTACAAAGCTTTCTGTTTTCCTGCTTCCTCCTTTGTCCTTTGTCCCGCTTTCCCCCAAAGCTACTCCTAAAGGCCAACAACACTCTGGGATGTGATGCAATGGTTTCAGTGGGGGTCGAAATCTGGGCAGCAGGGAGGCAGTGCTGAAGTGTCTTCCCATCACTCAATGAGCTCTTTGGACCCCAGACACTGATTTGCTTTAGCAGTTTGCATTCATTTTAATAAGAACATGAGATGAGCCTGCTGGATCAAGCCAATTGGCCATCTCATCCAGCATCTTCTTCTCCTAGTGGCCCAGCCCACAAGCTGGATTCAACCAGAAGAGCACTCTCCCCTCTTGTGGGTTCCAGCAACTGGTACACAGAAGCATTGCTGTGGAAGCAGAGCAGATCCATCATGGCTAGTAACTATTGATAGCCCTCTTCTACATGAATTTGGAAGACCATCACATTTAAATACTGCTTCTAAGCACAAGCTTCTGCCTCTTTCTCCTCCACCACAGGCACTGTACTCATCATAAAGGGGGCTGGAGCTGCAAAATTACTAATGGTGTCCTGGTGATGTGACCTAGCCTAAAAAAGGGAAGCCATATCTAGAGGCATGTTTGCCAGGTGATACTTTAGTCAGGATGGCTTTTGTTAGGGGAAACATCATTTTAATTTCTAAGCCTTCCAAGTCCACCCAGCTTATGGTCAAACAAGGCATGAAATTTGGAGATCTATGATTAGATTCCTCCATTACTATGACGATGATGATAGCAACACTGGTGTGGCAATGGGGGTGCAATCTTGTTGGGGTTGTGGTGCTGGAGCAGAGAACCCTTTCTTCTATTTTGCTCTTGGTGTGAGGCCAAGCTTGTAAGCTGAATCAGCCTTGCTCTTCACCCAAGGGGAGATAGAGGCAGTAGGAAGGAACAGCTGCAGGGTAGGGTGATCTGGAGAGCTTTGTTGCCATGCTGCAAGCAAGAGGAGAGGTCAGATCCAGCCCTGCTCACTTCAACACAGCAACAGTGTCAGGGATGAAGGTATAGCAGGAGAGCATGGCAATAACTCTGTCTTCTTCCTAGGGCCATTTTCCCCTATCCAGTGTTCAACAACCTTAGGTCCCCAGATGTTGTTGGGACTACAACTCCCATCAACCATTACTGGCTAAACTGGGTGGAGGTTATGAGAGTTGTGGTCCAACAATAGCCAAGGACCCAAAGTTTAAGAACACTGCCCTAATGAAGGTAATTGAGCAATTGATGGAAGCAGGCTTGGAGAGTAAGTAGATCTTGGCTTTGCTTGTGAGTCTGGCAGGTATAAGAAGAGATGAAGGCAGAGAGAAAGAGAAAGCAAGCAAGCATACACCAATGTAGCAGCTTGGAGCTTCCCCATTGAATTGATGCTAGATAAATAGATGTGCATGCAGTTGTGAGTTGCAATATTAAAATATTGCAAAATCCCTAATGAAAGGAAGAGAGTCCCAGCCGTGAAGGAGACACACACTGTTGACAACATATTGTTGTTAGACATTTTTGCAAACATTTGGGTGTGTATAGTTACAGCCCTGGTGGCACATTTGAAAACAGTATTAATGAGGATAATAATAGTAATTAGCAATAATAGGCAGTATTATCTACTGCCCTGCAGTCACTGCTCTGCAGTGATACTCTTGGGGTGGTCTTGACCAAGTTTAGCTATGATTCCTGCATTGTAGGGGTTTGGACTAGATGACCCTTGGTCCCTATGATTCTATGTGATAAAAATTCTGTGATAAAAATTAGGAGGAAGTACATGGTGGCTAACTCCATGGGATGTCTTTTCTAACGTTGGACCTATATCAAATCTCTACAATAGCCTACTTTGCAGGGTTGTTGAAACCATACACAGAAAGACTGTACAGCACCATCAAATTAAAAGTACAAAAAACGCCCAAAGAAATTAATCTATTGATATGGTTTCCGGTTATGATAAAGCCCTTTCTACTGGAACTTTCTAAACAAAAACTTAGTCACACCCTCTGATTCATTTTGAAAAGTGCTGCTGTGTGAAATTAGTATCTGCCTGTCATCTTGGCAAGCATGCAGTGACTATTTATTTTTCAACTACCTTCTCGGTAGTAATTGCAACATCAACTTTCCCCCCAACCAATTCCCGTTCCAGGAAGCTTTGAGGCTATTTTATCACAAGAGAAAACATATTTGTAGCCAAACAGTGGGATAGAAATCTTCTAAATAACAATAAACGCTTGAGGAAAAACGTAACTCCATATTCACATATCGGAACCGTAAACTTAAAAGGAAACATTTGTCTAAAGTGAACAGACATGGGAGCACAGTTGAGTGTACTGTCCACTGACTGCTGTAGGAAATGGAACAGGCTTGCTTCAAAGACATGTTGCAACAGACACCTTTCAATTATAGATTGCAGTTGTTTGCACAGGAGGAGGTATGATGCATATAGCGCTCTTAATGTGCCAACTGTTTCATGATCTCCATTTTACATGCCTTCACAGTGAACCTCTTCCTCTATTCTAATGAGATTAAATCATAGAGCCTTATCTAGATATCTAAGCAAATTCATGACTATGCTAGGATTTGCCCCCAGGTGTTGCAGAACCACCTGCGGTCAGTGTGTTGGACTCAAGCTGGAAAGACTAAAGTTCAAATCCTCCACTTGGTTATGAAGGGCCCAGCCTTTTCAACCCCAAACCCCTGTCCAGGCCTTCAAAGCCTTGTGCTAAAGCACTCTTGGTAAGGGAGGAGGACAACATGCATTTGCCTCAAAAGTGTGGTCCTCCCTGGATCTAGCCTGTCTCTAATATTCCCTTCTGGATCCAGTGGGTGGTGGCTGACAGAAGCAGGTACACCTGGAGAAAATAGGTTATCTAGATATATTCAACTTTCAGGCCTGATTTTGTCACCAATGCAGCCTTGGTTGCCCTGACTGATGACCTTATTGGGAGAAAAGGGGACTGTGACCCTTCTTGACCACTCAGGAACCTTTTGACATTATTGACCACGGTGACCTTCTGGAGGGACTCAGGGAGGTGGAAACTGGAAGCACTACATTATAGTAGTTTTACTCCTACCTGCTGAGTTGCTGTCTACTGTTGCTTGGCCCCATGGCTTTTGAGCTGTGGGGTCCTGCAAGGGTCCATTATGTCCATTATGTATATGAAAATGTTGAGAACTGTCTCCCTGGGATTTGGAGCCTGGTGCCATCAGTATGCTGATGACATGCAGTTCTCTCTCTCCTCTCCCCCATTCCATGACAAGCAGGAGAGGCTGTGATGGCTGGATGGGGGTCAATAAACTGAGGCTGAACCTGACAATGAGGTCTGTGGGCCTGGGAATTAGGCACTGCACTCCCCCTGAAAGAACAGGTTTG